AATAATTACTCCTTTTGTTCTTTTATTCCTTTTGGATAATAGCTTATATTTTAAATAACGGCATTTAAAAAACCTGAAGTAACTCTTAAGAGGTATCTAAAATCAGAAGTGGTTTCAATGTTAAAAAGCATGAATTAGAAAAGAAAAAAATATTCATCTGTTTCCTTCCAGCAAGTATGTTGAATTTCTATTTTAGACTGCATGCTGTTCCCTGATATCTTACACCAATGATTAAGAAAATGTACTCATTCAATCTCTGCCCTCTTTCTGTATAAATATGAAGAAAAACTTTCAATTATCTTTTTAATCAGTAGAGTCCATGAAATCAAGACTCCTATTGCTACACAATTGGACTTTGCAGAACTACTCAACAGCCAACAGGAACAAAGAAATAAAAAACTCACAAAACTTTTTAATCAGACCTAATAGGAATCTTTAACACCATATTGTATTTATTCTACTCAGTAACCTTTACTACTCAAGAACAAGGGCAGAAAGATATATGCAAAATTACCCACATCTGCAAGGAGTTTTTTTGGTGCCTAAAATGATGTTTTTTCATCAGCACAGAAAGGTTGTATGACAGGTACTGAAAAAATCTCCAAGACCTGCAATTTTGTCCACAGGACATGGAAGGAGGGAGAAGTAGAGGTTCAGTGTCTGTCCATCCCAGCAGGTCTCACCTGAGGATGATGACTGCAGCCTGGAAAAATTCAGATTATTCTATTCCTCTCCCTCGGAAAGGAGATTTAATTTTTTTAAGTGTTTACTTTGTTGGGTTGTTTTGGGGTTTTTTTGCAAAAAGAATAGAATGCATTTCTTTACCACTAACAGGTCCCCTGAAGTTTCCCAAAGCAGCCCCACTGCACTCACACTGCAATATTTTACACTGCAAGTATTTTACAGCCTGAGCAGCTTTTGCCACTGACTCACCTCAGAAATCCGCAGTCACAATCCAAAGGTGTGTGTGCTTTACTCCAGGCCTGACAGACCTCAGCAGCTCTGGCAATAATTCGAAGAACAGTGTTCTCTTCACCCCAGGGACAAGGTTTCCCCACCCAGTTCCCATCTCTTACCTGCCCATACTCAGCCCAAGTATATGGGAGCCTTAGCCCTCTTTTCCCTCCTGAGCCTTTCCCAGCAGCCATCCTCAACCTTGCTCCCTGCACCTTAACTCCATAAAACAAGGTGAAATACTTGAGGTATTTAGGGGAGGACAGCAAATTAGAGAGATGGGCCAGCTGCCAGCACAGGTTGGGCTTTAACCCCCACAGCACGCAGACCAGTGCCATCAGCAGTAATTAATTATCCCCACAGCACTGGGCTGCTCCTTAGCCTGGCAGGCTTAGCCTGATGCCCCTCATCGCATCCCAGAGCCCAGCACCGAGGGAGCTGCCTGGAAAATCAAAACATTCTGAACTCACTGCACCAATATAAAAGACAACAGTGACTCTTTTCTTCCATCTTTGACCAGGCTTGTTAACTTTACAAATCTATTCTATCTGCTTTTAGGGCTATTCCGGCTTTATGTGAGTATTGAGTGTGCCTCTATTTTATGTTTTAAACAATGTTTGATTGGTTGTCATCTATGCCAGCAGCAATTAAAAGATAAAGATATAGATATATTTATACACACACCCATATACATATATATACACACATACACATATATATATACACATACATATATATATATCTGTGAAATAATAGAGGTTCCCGAGCTTTCATCTTGTTGTTATCCTTAGCAGCAGTGGGAATTCCCAGCTCTGTATCCCAGGCAGCACATCTGCTGGTTGTGCACCCAGGTAAGAGCTACCCAGAGCTCTTGGAAAGGCAGCCAGGGAGTCTAGCAAGGGATACTTAAAACAAAACAAAGAAACAGACAACAGCCCCCAAGGCACACATTTTCATCTATTCAGTTCAAACAATGCACACACATTCCTGTTTTTTTGTCTAGTCTCATACATTAACTTTTACCTCCTGGAACAAACAGAATGGTTTCTTTACTGGAGAGCAGGTTACTCCTCTGTTCTGTCACAGACTGACTGTACCATGGGCAGAGCAAGGGTTTCCATCAAGCACACTCCTGCTGGAATGAACAACAGTGGCAGAAGCTGATTGTCTTAGCAAGTCTTGCTGCTGGGGGCATGCACAGCATGGTGTGTCCCCAAGTAGATGAAGTGAACTCACTCTCACATTTGCTGTTTCTTCCAAATCACAAAGCTGTCATTTCAATTTCAGTGCCATAGCTCCAGTATTTTTATTAAAAACTCTCCTTGAAATAAAAATGCATTAATGTGTTATTTCAAAAATTTAGCAAATAATAAAACAAAATGTTCTAATATAACCTCAATGTTATTGTCAATTTTGACCCAATGATTTTGAATAATTGTCTCTTGCTAGTCCTAATGCTGTCTACGTCACTGCTTCTACATTTAAATAAGCCACCATTGAGGAAACAAACAGAAAACAGAAAAATGAGCTGTCCTAGCACTCTTACAAATGGAATGTTAATATCCCCACTCAAAGGAGAAATTGTCAAAAAGAACAGCCATAACAAAGAATTTTCTTCTTATGTACTTTTATTTTATTGCATTTTTTTACATCTTTGATGGAATTTTTATGCAACTATTATGCCACAATCTATGATACACAATGAGAATGAAAATCTGTCAGTTACCATTTATATTCCTATGTTAATTTTGTTTTCTACCTCTGCATATACTGTGGCAAAAGTGCATTTATCATATTTCATGCAGCACTGACTGCCTTATGCAAACTGAGAATACAGCAATATTTAGCTGCACTCAAGTCTTGCTAAAGAAACAAGCATTTATAGAAGCATTAAAATACTTTGGGTGATGGTTACTGTCTATCAGCTTAATGTTTTGAGCTATAGAAATGGACAGGAGATGTTATTCGTGGCTGTCAACTGCAGTACTTTCCAAGTTCATTAGGTTTTCAAAGACTGAATTAGCTTAAATGTTTCAGTGAGAGAAACACTGAGTTAGAGAAACAAGCCCAGGGCAAGCAGCCTGATTTAAAAGGATGCTACAGAGTTTCAAAAACATTAGACTAAGTTCAGTTCTGGATGCCATGGTAAGTACCTTACCACATCAATTCTATGCTCTGACAGGATTATTTCTTCACCACCATGGCCTATCCAAGCAAAATAAAAGGACAATACAAGGCACACAGGCCTATTTGGAAACCTGCCTGGGAATGTAGTACCTGATCATAGCTAAAGTTTTTAATTGCAGCTTTTTATTTTGATGAGACAAGAAGCTTTTCAGCATCACCCAACTCTCTGAATCAGACATAAACTACCATGCTTCCTCAAGTAACAGTCCATACAGCAGCAGCAGGGCAAAACAGACTCCCAGAGCAAAAGCAGGTCCAAGGAGCATGCTCAGGACAGAGAAGTGGAGATGAGGTGAAGCCTCATCTCTGTGTTTTCCAGTCACTTGTTATGCTGTCTCCAGGTGGCTGCTCAGGACATCCAGCCTGACCCTCAGGGCACTGCTGGGACACAGGGCCTTTGTGCAGCTCCTTCCAGCTCCCTGCCCCAGCCCGGGCGTAGCCATCCCTCTGCACCCCACTGACACTGCTCACCTCTCACCATTCCTTCTGCCAGCCAGTACAAAGAGGGGAAAAAAGCCTCCTGCCACTGCATAGGTTAGTGCTGCAGAAACCTGCAGTCACAAAGTCCACTCAGAGCCAAGTTCTCCTGGGGCAGAGGGAACAGGACTTCTGACAATACCAGCTCTTATATCAAGAAAGGAGAGGAAAGCTGGGCTCATCTGCCTTCTAGCGCTGTGGAAGAACACAAGCAATGGTCCTCAGACCACCCTGCCATGCAGTGCCTCCCCAGAAGCCAAGCACTACTTCCCAGCAAGAGAAACAGCCCCTGCTGCTCTCTCCCCTCCAGCACTTGCTGTACATCAGCCCCCTGACACAGAGCAGCCCTTGAGGTGGCTCACTTTTATATCCGTACTGAAAGTAGATGGCAATTGAGATCCCAATTGACAGATAAACATAAGGGACCAAAAAAAACTAATTACTACTTGTGCAAAACCACAGCATGTGCCTTCGGTAAATCAGAAGCTGTTGTTTGCCCACCTTCCTCTAAAAAAAAGGGTGAGTAAATCAGGAATAGACACTTCATAGCTGGATTAGTATCAGCAAGGTGATGTGAGGTAGGGAATAGCACTGGACAAAGCAGAAAATCTACTGCTTGTTGCAAAAACAGATTTCTTATCCAAACATAATCTTGGAATGGTCAAAGAAAAGCAGACCTTAGTAGTACAGCAAGGGAAAGACTGTTCATCCAAAACAAGGATGTTTACAGGATCCCAAAGCTCCCTAATACTACACAGCATGAAAGCAGGCAGCCCAGGAAGTGGGAGCACCTCTTACTTCTGAAGTCATTTGATGCTAAATTCTCCTGGTGATCACCCATTGGTCTGTCAGCTGTGGTCTCATGTACACTTCTAGCCTCTTCAAGTATACCCAAACAACCTTTTCTTGGTCCCTTTTACTTCTGCCCTTCTTGACCTCCTAAGTGGTTCACACTACTTACTGTTATCCTCCAGTAGAACAACTTTGTGACACCCTGTTTCCAGCCTCCTCCTCACATCTCCAGGTTATCTCACTATCTCCTAACACAGCTGGTACATTTCTCTACCAAAGCCATCTACCAACTCTGCTTTTCAGTTTCATTACTCTTCTCTGATACACAGACAGAAATAAGTGATTTCTTTTCCTTGTGGTAATGCCTCTTGTGTGCATGTCCATGGTGCTGTCCATGCCTGCTGTACTTACAGTAATCAGACAGTGCCCACAGACTGAGATATGAGCCTCACCGAGCCACACACTGCATCCTGGGATAGGAGAAGCTTCTTGTGTCAAGGGGTCCCAATTTAAATAGACAAGTGACAAAAAACGGTGGAAGGTAAGATGGAATTGTTTCTTGCTTACAAACTAGGGAGCAAGATACAGAGTAATGAAGTCAGCTGCTGGATCCTTTTATTTGATAAAGCAAAAATACATAATTTCCAGTATTCTCCCTACTTTCCTTCTGGATGCAGGTGTTTTGAGAGACTACCAGTCAGAGACAGGTCAGGGCCCTACAGTTAGAATGTCTTTCCCTCAAAGGCCTCCAGGTTGAAAGCTGTATCCAAGAACCTTCTGAGTGACACCAGATGCATGTTCTTGTTGCCTGTGGCAGCTGCAGCAGCAGGCTCTCGGCCAACATACCTTCATGATAAAAAGAATAAGGCAGACACATGAGATGAGAAGAGACACTATTTTGACAGTAACAAGCATGAGAACATGCTGTTTAATGCATTCAAGTCAGCTTGGCAGATTTGGATATTTAGTCATCTATCTTTCTTAAATAAAAAACAATCTAAGTTGTACCAAGTTATACCTTCTGGTCTGCTTCCCTCTCTTTCCCCCTCCCATCACTGTTAAGCTGTGTCTTCTCGCCATCCCTCCCAGGGCAGCCAGGTACACTGTCTCATAATTAGATAACTTGCTTTTGGCAATGAAGACTCTCATTCCTTTGACAGCTGCACAGGCAGATCTGAAAGTCAATCATCTAAAATAAATGCAAAGGTGCCTGGACTGTGCTCTTACAATAGCTGTTTCCTGCAGAAACCTAACAGCTGGACTGAAATTCTTAAAATAACAGAATCTTAGCCAAAAGAGTTAAGCGCTGTGTTAAGTAACAATAAATATAGACATAGTTGCTACTGATTTCTTTTAGATCTACGAGGAGGAGCAATATGTGCATCTTGTACTTCAGAAATAGTAGTCTAGATTTTCCCCTCCTTCATCCAAGAACCCAGACTCAGAGGTTTTGATTTGTGAAGAACCTGACTTACCCATGAATACCTGAAAACAACCCCAACCAAATTTAAAAGCAAACAAAACAGCCCAGGAGACACCAATTGTTTAAAGTCTCATACCAGATGGGTCGAGTGTGGTTCACAATAGTGCGGAAACGAGGTTTGACGTAATCATAATATCCACTGTTTTTGTGCTCCTCCTGACACCAGACTAGATCAGCAGTTGGATACTTATCAAGTTCTTCTTTCAGCAAGTCAAAGGGGAATGGTGAGATCTGGAAAAAGAGAGTAATAGTTGCCAAGGCTTCCTCTTATGTGGTATTAGCCCATGGCAAGTCATTACTTTTCATTGGAGAGTGACTCATGTTTCTCTAATTGATTGAATGCTCAGAAACGAATACACAAGTATTTTATAGTTGTATTAGTATGAACAGAAGTAGTTCATAGTCCAGATCACCTGCACTCTTACAGCTTTTTTAGTGAAGTAGCTGTAGCATGTCCTTAATCAGTGAATGACAATATACCATCAAAGTGTACTATTCACAACATTCAAACCTAGCAGACCACATATACAAATTTAAGGTGCTATCATATTGTAATCTTCATTTTGTTATGTTGTTCTGGAAAAGTCATCAAGCTTTCTGGATCTCATTGTCCAGTAAGCTATTGATATGTTCGTTCTCCACAAGGCCACAAAGGAGTAGAATATGTCTTGTAAGATGCTAAATGCTAGAAAAAATGCTATCACCATCCATTCTACAAGGGGTGTCTATTTAAAATCAGGATCAGGGAGCTCACCTGTTCAAGTCTGGTTATAGCTACTTGTTTCTCCAGGTCTTGGTTCTTTCTCTCTTTCACTAGGTCATAGTAGACTTTTCCCGTGCAGAAAATCACTCGCTTGACCTCATGTGGAGCCTGGGCTGCCAGCCCATTCTCAGGAATCACACGTTGGAAAGTGGTACCTAGTTGGAGCAGAAATTAGAAACAGTGCTGTCAGCAGACCTGACATTTCAATAAAGCAGCCCAAGAAACAGTCCTTTAGTCCTTTACTGAGCAAGCAGCAGGTTACAGTGATCAAAGGGCTCTCTCTCTGGTCCTATTATTCAGACTGGTAACTTGGCTAAAGTGACTTTCAGCAGCTCTGTTTCAAGAAGTTAGAAGGTTGTCAATAATCCAGTCTTTCACAATACTTAATAGACAGAATCATATAAACAGTAGACTGGGTTTCAGCTTTGTGCTGTGTACTACATCTTTACTTTTAAATTGATTGGACAGCTCAACTTTTCTTTCATTTTGGGGTTCTTTTTCAGAGAATCACCTGAAATAATCTTTCTTCTTTCCAAGATTATCTCAACCATGTAACATTAATACAGTTTTAGGAATTTCAGAATATTCTATAAAAACAAAACACATATCCATAATGCAACTAAATCTGGCAACTGCAGAAATATTTACCCAAGCACACACATTACTGCTGTATATTTGATTTAAACCTCTGTTTGAGAGCTAAAACAACAATAGTCAAAGCAAGAATTAGCACAGAGCTGAGCCATATATATAAATGCTAAAGTACAAGTACTATTTCAGATGCATATCTTAACTGCTACCACCTCCCAGGAGTACAATTTGCTTGGGATATGTGAAACTGGAAGAAGGACTTGATGATCTGAAAGATCCTTTTCTTTACTCTCATATATGATTGAGTAGGACTACTTCCACATTAAACAACTGCAGGGTAGCAGACAGCAGCTCAACTTCCTATTTTGAATCAGCACACCCACTTACCAGGAGAATAAGCTCCTTTTTGAACCATTTATCTTGGGGAAGAAAAGCAACAGCACAAACATATCAAAGAAGAACTGATTTATGTCAGAATTATCCTGTCCCACTGAAGTGCAGAATTCATCATTAAAAAAGACTGAATCTGTGCTTCATTGGGTCAGCTGGAGTCAGTCTTCCTCTCAGCTTTCTATTAAAAGCAGAGCAAAAAGGATTAGCTGAGAGTCAGAAACACTTTATTACCTGCTGTCCTCTTCAGCAGAAACATGAAAGCATAGCAAAACTCAATGTTAATTTGGAGTTTAGCCACTATTGAGGTTAGCCTGAAGTAGAGGGGTCCCTCAAGACAGTGACAAATCACAAAGCCTACAGAATTCCTAATCTGACCCATTCAACAAAGCTTTTAAACAGTAATAAAAACAGCAAACACCTTTGCTTGAGAAGCAAATTTAACGCTTACAAAAATAAGATAATACAATATTTAAGCACATTTATACAGTGTAAGCTGCTTTTAAAAAACTGAGCAGTTGCTTTCTTCTGACAGCAGCTAAGACCCTCACTGGAACTGGAGACAGACCAGCACACCCCTGCCCACATTCCCACTCTGAACAGTCACTTTAATCCCTCATTACATGCACTGCATTTCCCAATGCCACTCCAACATGGTCTAACCAGTGCAGTGTTTGGTATTGCCCCTGCCTTTACTGTGTATCTCTTGGTGCTGACAGCATGCCAACAACAGCTCTGAACTCACTGATCTCACTGTAGATCACTGGTGTGACACAGCAGCCCCAAACCAAGCATTGTAACAAGAACTGGGCACATTATTCTTCCAAATTACAACCTATCCCATAACCAGTCTTGGGATCAGGAGGCACGGGCACTACAAAGAACAAAATTTTTTATATGAAGAGAAAAAAGAGTAGAGGGACATAGTAGCCTCTTGAGAGAAAACTCCCTGCAGAGACAGATAGGCACTTTCCATTAAGATTAATGGCTGTTTACAAGACAAACCTGTTAAAATTAAGAATCTATATGTGAAAGCAAATTATTCAGCAAAAAGTCCCTGCTAGTTCTCACTATGACAACTCCACAGAAATTATGCCAAAAGAAAAGACAAACTCTGCAGAACAGATTCTGTTCTTCACAGTCTGACATGCAACTTGGTATAGCTAATTATTTTCCCACAACACTTCGAGGTGACCTACCAGACACCATTTCATCAAAACTGGATTTAGCTTCTGGATGCCTCAGCAGTGACTTGGGTGTCAAAACAATCAGCTGTAAGACAGAAATTTTTAAAAACACTCAGAAGCTACTTTATCTCCATTACACATGCAACATTTGTAACACTGTGCATACAAAACCCACAAGATTAATGATATAGAATAAATTAACATGAATAGCAAACACAGTAAATTATTTTTCCTGTTTTGAAAGCCATGAAAGTTTCAAAATTATTCAGAAGATTTAGGTAGCCTACTCCTTTTACAGGTTCTCAAAACTCACTGCTTATTCTTCTCTTTAACAACAAAATCAAATCATAGGCTATGAACCAGTAAAACATTCAACAGTTGTATCTTGGGTCTTTGAAGTTCCAGCAATTAGACATGCAGATGATAGTTCTACAACCTGTAAGCTACATCATTAATATCTTGACAAGGTCATCCAAAGATCTACACAGCCAGATGGAAGCAAAGCTGAAAATCAAGTTTTAGAGCCATAGTAAATCAGAGCGGAGCTTCTTTCCATCAAACTGGCAACTTCAACCTGTGTTCAGTTAAGGTTTTTCACCAGCAATCCTTATTCTTTTCAGCACTGTGTCACATGCAAAGGCCACTCCTTGTCTGAGGGCTAATTTACCTGGAATAATCAAGTCCATTGAGATAACCTTACCGGCTTTCTGAATGGCAGCAAGATCTGCCTTCGGAGGACATGAAAGTAATTGGCTGGAGTTGAACAGTTCACCACAATCCAGTTGCAATCATACAGCTGGGAAACTTCAAACTGCTCAGTGAACTCCTGAGAGAAACATTAAAGGCATTAGGAAAATGTCTTAAAAAAAAGCAGAAAAAAACCCTTGAAAGCCATCCTTCCATTTCTGATTCTCAGCAACTCCCTTCCTCAGAAAATTTATTTAGCAGCTCTCAGCTGAGATTGTTTTATTAGCTAGGGAAGCATCCCTACAAATAATTTCTTTGTTTCTACTTCCTAAAAATTGATGCAAATAAACACAAAAAGTTTCCATTAATACAGAAAATATAGGAATTCCAGGAATGAAGACCGAGGAGGACTAGGACATCAGCAGATGGAAGAAAGAAAATAGAATTGCTTCGAAAGAACGTTAAACTATAATTAAAATTTTGAGTGTACAGTTTAAACTATAATTAAAATTTTGAGTGTACAGTTAGCTTTCACTCTCTCTCCCATCCTGTAGAGCAATGTACTCTATCTGTAGAAATAACCAATCTATGAAAGTCTTAGCCCAATCAAAATTAGAAGTTACCTGTTTCCATACTCCTAGCAGTACAATTCAGCTCCACTGCAAAGAGCCAGGGTAGTCTCACTTGACCTCCTTTAGAAATTGGCTAGAGACACCTATTTACAGTACACACAGCAATATAAACAAGCAGGATCACTGGCCCTGAGGAAGAGCCATAAAAAGATCATGCTGCCAGAGATTAATTGTATGTGACCCCAGCTTTCCAATGAGCAGCAATGCTGCATACTTCCACTACTTTTGCAGGGATCAAGTTAATGTTACACCAAGACTTGAAGCTAAATCCTAACTGCTATACCCAGCTAAAAGGATGCTACTAACAAAAAATCTCTGGGATGTAAAAAGCAAGGAAAGGACTAAACTACTTACTGGATAGGCATCAGAGTCATCATTGCTCATCTGCAGAAACCTCTCAGGTCTGGCTGATGAATGCTCTGGACCCTGGTAAAAGTATTATTTAAAACAATGTTAAAGAGCCAAATGAGCAGTTGGACATCAGTCTAGATCACTCACTGCATGAGTACCTCCTGTCCCAGCTGCACCAGCTGCACACCTGCCCCCAGCCAAAGGCACCAACAGCAGCACTGAGAGAGAGGACACACCACAGGACAGGAATTCCTCATCTTCTGTCTCCATATGGAGATTTGGTTTCATATGTATTTCCAATGTTTCTACCAGCTGCAAGTGATTTCTACCCTCAGTCTAGCTGCACAATGAAGACCAGTGGAAAGGCAGTGGGTCTATGTGGGCACAATGATGACCTTGCTAATGAGAGCAAACAGGAGCACAAGGAATGTCAGGAAAAGAAATACTGGGTGCCTCAGAGTACTAGAGTGACTCACACTTCGTGCATGCTGAACCAGAGCAGACTCAAAGTTAACTGCTGACTACTTTTGCTGTATTTGCAAGAAAAGCAGGCACAGGATCTCTCCCACTATTGTTCACTGTTCAGTAGAGGACCAAATACCTAGATGAATGCTTTAGCTAAAATGGATCAAAATATACACACACATTATCTGCCAGACTAACCTATGTTTAATTTCTGCCTCCTTGGGGGATATTTTATATTCTGTCATTACTGAACACTCCCATGAACTGTCTCACTAGCAGTACCCATGGCAATTACATGAATTGCACAAATGCTGTTACCTCCATTTTACATTAGGAAAACATGCATGCTGGCCACAGAAATTATCAGGAATAAAGAATGTAACAGAATCTGTTATTTTTCCTTTTCATGTCCCTGTTTATAAAGGATCAGAGAAAGCTGTGAGGAGTGTTAGAATGCAATGTGCTTTTCCATGTATTGCTATTGCTGATAGCCTTGGCTTGTTAAAGTGACAGGTATCCTTAGGAAGGGGTGTCATTTTGCACACAGCTGTAAAGTACTTTAACCCAAAGACAAACTATTACACCTCTCAACTCTCTCCATGTCTCCTAAGCTAATAATGTTCATAAAGAGATTTTTTTTTATACGGCTATCTCTCATCATAAGTTCCTCTGTTGAAATCTTAATACATGATCTCCAAAATCAGTCATTATTCTGACAACTAGTAATCCACCTTGATTGAACACATCATCCTTCCTAATTCCAAGTGCAGGATTCCAGATCCATAGTAGGAACACAAAGATGATCAGAGGAGTGGAGCACCTCTCCTATGAAGACAGGCTGAGAGAATCAGGATGATTCAGCCTGGGGAAGAGATGGTTCCAGGGAAATATTTTACAGCATCTTCCAGTACCTAAACAGGACCTGTAAGAAAGCTGGAGAGCAACTTTTCACAAGATCAGGTAGGAGTAGGACAAGGGGAAATGGCTTTAGGCTACAAGAGAGCAAGTAGAGGTTTGATACAAGGAAGAAAATCTTTACTGTGAGGGTGGTGAGGCACTGGCACAGATTGCCTAGAGCAGTTTTAGATGCCCTGTCCCTGGAAGTGTTCAAGGCCAGCCTGGATGGGACTCTGAGCAGACCCTGGTCTAGTGAAAGGCACCCTGCCATGGTGAGAGGCTTTGAACTAGATTTTCTCTACAGTCCTTTCCAACAAAAACCATTCTATGACTCCATGATTCAGTCTGCTTCATGGACTAAGGAAATTCAAAGGAAAAAAACATTCTGTTGGCAACAAAGGCATAACACAAATAGCCTAGAGCTGTGCCTTATATCACTGCTCCTTTGAATTCTGCCTCTGCTTTTGAGGTGCCAAATAATCTGGTCACAGACAAGAAACTTGAGAGCAAGGAACAAAGCTGCACAAAGCTATGGTGCACAGTAGCAGCCCAGTTTATTGTAGCACCTCTGATGTTCACATCTGCTGTAAATGAAATCCTGCATTAAGCATGGCATACACAGTACAAACCCAGTGCTTCGCAAGCACACTGGAATCAGTACACCGCCAACAGAGATGTTACCAGCAAACAATTACAGGACAGGCAGGTGAGGCTTCCCCATCACTCACACACTGCCCCAGCAACAACCTCAAACCAGAGCCTCAGTGTTCACATTCATCTTCAGTTCCTGTGCTGACACCACCAATCAGACTACCAGCAACTGCTGCGTGGGATGGGGTAGGGTTTATTTCTACTGTGATCACCTATCCAGTGTGACCTATACTGAATCCATTAGCTACTTTCAGATGAGTCCCCAAGGAGCCACTAGGCTGCAGAGTCTTTCAATCACAGCCAACTTGCCTGTGAATGCATGACCTAGAGGTGAAGGGATCCATATCCCATTAAGAATCCTTCCCCAAATCATCTTGTCCCCAACACTGTAGTTATAGAAAGACTAGTCCTCCTGTAATGAAAAGGTCCTCTGGGAAGGTAAAAGATTTCAACAGCCTGGTGGGATTCTTAAATATTCCAAAAGCAGCTGACACTATTAGCAAATTAAGCATGTTTCAGAAGACCTGTGCAAATCTTCGCTGCCAAGTGGCAATGGGAAAAGATTAAATGTATTTTAAGTAGCAGAGAATCAGCCCCTTAAGCCAAGTGCTTCCCTGCAGAGGACCACACCTCCTGCTGAGGGCTCATTCAGGCTGTCCTCTCAGGATACAGTTAAAAAAATTAATTTATCAAAACCCTTGTGAACAGCATCAGACCCTTTATTTTTTAAGCACAATGGATATAGGAAGCCATTCATAAGATATGAATGCACCCCAGTGTATCAGGACAGGATCATAACTGAATAGAAATAAACTAAATTGTTTGTGAGAATAGAAATGACACAGTTTGTGGTGAAAAGGTCTAAAGCATTAATACAGATGGAGATTGCCACTGTGGCACATACTATGCTTTTTTTAAATAGAAAACTAGAAACATACATGCAACAATTCATGAAGGTTAATGTATTTGAAAAGGAGAAAATTAACCTTGCCTGATATGATGTTCATGTAATCTTAAAAATAATTTAAAATATTTGAAGAACAATTCCACTGCTGATATGAACTTCATATAACTTTACACATAGGGTGTGCCCACACCCTTTCCCTCTAAGACATTGTCTACTTCCTCCTATACACCAAAAAAAAGACAAATAACAGCTAGTAGAAACATTTTCCTTTCCAGAAAGAGGGAGATTTCTTATTATATCAAAATTAACCAAGGTCAATTATTTTTGAAGAAGTTTTAAAATTGTTTTATGTCATTTCATGGCAAGAGAATTTACTGCAGAGTTTACACAGACATACTTTATTCAAAAAAAAGGAGAAAATGGGAGGAAGTGGTACATGCCACGAAGGACATGAAACTAAGACCTCAGAAATATTGCTCAGGGTTTTTTGGTTTTTACCAGTCAATCTATCTACATTCTTCTCTGTAACACTGAGGCAGCCCCACATGCTTAACAGTGCCTTCCTCCCCTGGGTTCCTATCACCACTGGATCCCCACGACACCTTTGGCTTTTCCAGCTGCAGAGAAGGCACTGCAGCCAGCAGTCCCCTCCTGCATGTGCCAGCCAGCAGTGCTCACCATTCCTTCCATCCCGTGTGGCAGGAGCAGGACGATCCCGTTGTGCCGAACCCACTTGGCCTGGCCGGAGCTGATGAACTGGTCTATGATACACTGAGCCGTGTTGTGGAAGTCCCCAAACTGGGCTTCCCAGCACACCAGAGCATTGGGACTTGCCATAGCAAAGCCAAGTTCAAAACCTGACAAGCAAACAAGTAGGAAAATTAGAAAAATTGATTTCCTGAAAATTCTGTTCATTCCTCATTAAAAAATTAAAAATAAACCCAAAATTAGAGCATGAACTGGATTTCTAGAGCCCCATTATGAGTCATGCAGTTTCCAGTAGTACCATTTTAAAGCCTGACTTTTATCCTTCAAACTTTTCCTCAAACATTTCAAAATCATAGGAGTTTTTAAACCAACTAAACCCTCTCCCTCCACTCCAACTTCAGTATAATGTTTCTCTAAGAGCTCACTACTATCTTCTCCTGTAAAAATGCACTTACAGCCCAGTTAAAGACAATGTTGTGTAGGGCTGTGGAAATATTAAAATTAATAAATAACTCTTTCTTCTTTCCCCCTCTCATAAGCAGATGATGAAGAAAATTACTGGTGACATCAATTTTCAGTCTACAGACATGATCCTAGTTTTCAGATCTTCCAAGAAACTTGAATGTAACAGCTGCATGGCAAACATATCTGGGACTTGGATAAACAATCCTTTCTTAGGCAGGGCTAAGGACCCTTTAGGTTTCTGCTTCAGCATTAAAGTATTTGATCTCTGTTCATATTTTTTATTGACTTTTTGCTATAGCAGAGCCTGGAGTGCTGAATAAATACCTGTACTCAGATTCTCCACCTATAATTTGGAGTGATTGCAACCAAAATGTTAAAGCTCTCAGTAAAAAACAGAGTTATATAGCAGTGCTCTGGGTATAGAGGTTCTGACTGAGGCAAAACTGAGTCAATATACACAGAGAATAAATATTCAATTGCTATATAAATTTCATGTCGAAGCTCTATACAGAATATAATGATGTGATTTCAACTACAGAACTTCAATATGGGAATACTCTCATTGAAGCTTACCCCTCAGATCAACTAACTTTTGGGTTTTCACAGTCCTTTCAACTCCAACCCAGTCAGGCAATTCCAACCCAGTTTTTTTCTTACCATCCCCATGTCAAGAAATCTTTGAGTCATTTGGCTTTTGGACTACTGATCTCTGAACAGTCCATCCATGACTCCAGCAGATGCTCATGGTCCCACCAAAAGGCAACTGATACATTAGAGGCCAAAAGAAGACTGTAAAGACAGCCCTTCCTCTATGAGTCCCCATGACAGAGAATGAAAATGACTTTTGCTGGCTTTGCCTTTGGTCTGACTGCCTGAACAGCCTTTCCTTCATCTCTGGCCTCCTCGTTTGTGTAATTCCACTGCTCTTAACACAATGAAAATGGCGGAAAACTTTACACAACTTCTTCAATCATATTCCCAAAGGTATCTGAAAAAGATTTCCCTAGATAGACTTGAATCCCATTCTAATTTTACACAAGCATTAAGAGACCATTTCCATTGATTGGGTTACATGGTTGAGAAAATATGCAATATGTTCAAGACTTATTTGTGCATATGCTGCTCTCTGTAAGGGTGGGGTAATCTAGCTTTTAGACAAGCACAAACTGAGGTCTTGACTATTCAGAATTATCAATAATCAAACAGTGCTTTTCAAAGACTATAGAGCTCAGTGCATACTTAAAATTTGGTCACAGCATACACATAATTCTACTTCATATATGAAAGATCACCCCTAAACTTCACATAGAAAAAAGAGTATAATTTCTCATTTCCTATCTTGCTGACAACTTCAAGCTAATCTCTACAGGGTAACAATGTTCTAGGTGAAGCTGCATCAAAAAGTGTGATCTTAACACAGATACCATTTGCAAGCTTTCTGACAGCTATAAAAATGTCTAGGAAAATACATCCAAATGTAATCTATACATTCTGATTAGCATTTTGAGAATAATGTTGCTGAGACTAGTATTTCATGGCACATGTGTCTGTGATACACACATCTTTGGTATACCAGAATTCAATTTTCCACCAGGGAAACAGCAGTGAGAGTTACTAAATTAAAACTATTCCAATCATGATTACAGCAGTGGCATAAATTTAACTCTTGACAGACTAAGGAGTCTGTGAAGAATTACTACTACTACCTTCATGGGGAAAAAAAAGCTTAGAGAACAAAATCTGAACTGCTAAATAAAATTTTTAAAAGTGCTGGTGGAGAGAGATCTAGACAGATGCAAGATGAACAGTCCAGGAGAGGGTGAGATGTTCTCTTGAAAAAGTGAATTGTTGGGGCACCAGAGTCAAGGTCAGGGCAGGTGACCTGAACTAGAAAGTCTCCACCATTCTAGAGATGGGACATGAACTGCAGGGGAGCAGGTTCCTACCCAGGTCCCTCATGAAGGCTCAACCTCAGACTAGAAAAAAAGAATTTAAAAAACAAACAAACAAAGACCACAGCAGAGATCTTGCAAACTTTATTGTTTGCATCTGCAGAAACAAGAGCTGAACATTTAAAATCCTGTGCAAATTTTGCAGGTTTAAAGAATTAACTCTTCCACAGGTAGAAACAGAAAACACGTTGAAGATGAGGAAGTCCAAGGTAACCAGGTAGCAACAACTTTCAAAGAATGTCAGGTAAGGAATCCACACACCCGAAGGGTGTTGGAAAGCAACCAGCCAACTCCAAACAGCAGGCAGCTGCTCAGAGCACACCAGGGCACAGGGAACCAGGAACCAGCACAGCAGTCTGGTAAACTTCTACACTGAGGGGACAGAGGGAAGAAAAATACACAGCACTTGATTAAGGCTGCAAAACTAATGTTTCAATTGCTGGAGTTCATTATGGTCCCTAGATGACAGACCTAGCAGAAATGCCTGTTTCTATTAGTCCATTGCCTGCTGTGCTCCCTCACTGTTCTTCCGTCACTCTGGCACAGAAAGAAGTGTTGTCAACCAAAGTGGCAGCTTACACAGCATACTGCATGTGTTTTTCCCCACAGCATTTTCATGATTGTCATAAGAATAGCTGTTTTTCAATTAATATAAGTAAGGCTACAGCCATAACTTAATTCAATATGATTTTAAAGTGATTTAGGGCATGAATGGTAACTAATGGTTAAAAGGGATTATCAGTACATGGATTTTATGTCAGAATGAAGAACAACTCAGAGACAGCTTTTTGCTATCTTTAACAGAAATTCTTGATTACTACAATCTAGTAATCTAGTCCTAGTTCCTAACACAATTTCTGACAGGTATTTGTATTTACTATCCCCAACACTAAGAATACATTCTTCTGACTGAGCAGGAATACTACATATTTCATCCTAGGTGTGTATTGCAAAAAAATGATTTTACATTAATACCTGTCTTCTTCCTTTCATCTTTTGCTTTAAATTTGATGTTTTCCCTTGAAAAAATTATACTACAAATCTCATGGTTCAGGAATTTCCTGAACTACACACTACTTCCAAGTCTATCTAGCCTGATATTACTTGAAAGCTCCCAGTATGAGATGCTCCAGCCCAAGATCTCTCAAGGACAGTATTGAATCTGACAAAGAAACTCACCTCTTGCATAGAGACTCAACACTACACAAATCATTCTGAGGGCCAGAAAGACAGGAAATCCTTTCAAGTATTTAAAAAATGCTCAAAGGTAGAATGGAGCATCTGTTAGTTATTTTTTGTTTTCTCCTCTATCCTAATCAGCAAGTAAATTCAGACAAACATTTTTTGCTTAAATGACTTCTCACGGCCATCACTTACACTTCCAGATATTCAGTTTCAGTACAAGGAGAAAATTACAGCAAGGCAGGTGGATGCACAAACTAACTAAACTATAACTAAATTATAATAATCTGGGTGTAACTAAAAATAGTAGACATGGGATGTCAAACAAAATTATCAGAGGTTGTCAAATACTCTAAATTAGCAAAGATTGCTAAGTACTCTCCATTAATGTTCAGGTTATACCCACTCCAGAGCTTCCTGTAGACAAAGCATAAGCAGTTGTCTGAATTACAATTGAACAAGACTGCCTTTGTTTTCTTTCTAAGTGAAATTAATCCTGCCAGAGTATCATTTTAATGGAGCAATGGCTCTCCAGGTGTTCCTAACTAGCATCACTACAACTTGGTGTAAAGCTCACAGCTCTGAACAGATACCAGCTCTTGACTTATGTACCTGCCAAGGAAATAATCTGTAGTTATATCATGCTGGACTGTTTCATCCATTTTTACTTAGCTCTCCCTCACAGAAACTAAGGGAATTCCCAAAATGCTTCTGAGATGCTGCATATTAACATAGTCATAAAATAAATTCCTAACACTTTTTCACCATTTTCCCTCTTTATATTATCTCACAACTCTCCTTACAGCCACCAAACACTTCAGTGCACTAATTCTAAACTGTTTCTTTTAACAGAATCAGATAGTAGAAACAGCAGTTAGAGAAAGTAAAGTGTTCAGCAGTTTTGGTTCTCCTGAAGGAACAACTCCATGAATTGCAAGCCTTCACTTATTCTTCTATGTATTAAAAAGGAGACCCAGTCATGTTACCAGCCAAATAAATACTAATTCTGATACCTCTTCTTTGACTCAGAGCCTTAACTAAAAGAGACATGCTCACACACTGCTGCTTATCCCAAAACTGTCTCTGTATGGAGGTAATACACAAGAGTAACCATGTTGGAAAAGGGCAATATATAAAAGCCAGCAAGAGAGAGAAAACTTCATTATAAAATCACTTCAACACAGAACATGGCATATTTAGTTTAAAAAAACCCAACCCAACAAACAAACAAAAAGCCACATCACTTAACTATTTGTATCAATTTAATCTCCTTTACTGCTAGGAAACATCTCGAGGGATTTAAAGCTCTTGAAAATTAAAGGTATCAATACTATCAGTTTTGAAGAAACTGTCATCCCATCTGTGAAGCAGAAGTATGGAAATAGTATTGTTTTCAGCATACAAACAAAACCCTCTTTTACCATATTGCTTGGATTCAATGAATTTTATTAAATCAAGTTTTGCTGGGTAAGGTGTAAAGGGCAGTATGAGATCAAGAAGGAGAGCAAGCCTTTTTGGTTAGTTTTTTAAAGAATGGAATTGTGACAGAATTGCCTTCACACCATATCAACACTAGGCTTCCTGCTGTGTTGTTATTTTTGAAACAAAATCAGATTTCAATCATATCCAGACATTTGTCACTTCTTTTGGAATGTAAAAAGAGCAAATCCAGAAACTTATGACCCACTTACCCACAAGTTTTGCAACGACACTGTAAACAAGCTCAAATTAAGAAACCCCAGAACACACAGTGAGAAACAATAGGAAATTAGAAACGATCAGTCTCTGAAGATAAAGATTCTCTTGATTTTTATCCATGCCAATTATTTTTCTCCTGTTTATAAACATCCTTGCTTGCACTCTCCTATTTAGAATTTAGAATTGTGTTAGCAATACAAAAAATGTGATTCTGTTCACACCAATTCTGCCACAGAGTAAACAAAAATACCTAAAAAATCCAGTCTCCAGCCCATGCTCCAACTGTACAATTTTATATCACTTTAATTTTAATATTATTAGCAGTAGATAACATGTAGCATTGCAAAAATTACTAAGTAACCAAGTATTTCTGGAACTTTGAAGGAAGTTCAACTACCACCTTTATCTACTACAATGCTTCAAGTTTTTCCTTCACACAATATTTTATTATCCATAGAATCAGTAACACTTTTGATAAATTTTTAGATGTATTTGTTTCGTGCTCCACATTCCTCTTGCCACCCTCATCATGTCAGAGTAAGGTTATCCATTCTCTGTGGCTGAAGGTAAAATAATTCACTATGATTAATGCTATCACTAAAAAGAATTTGTTTCCTTGAAATAGCACATTCAGAATAGCAGTTCAGATAAGGCCAGGATGGATTTTTTATATTTCCATGACAAACTGTGTCCTGTTTTCTTGTTAGTTCCTCCTCTTTTAAGAAAGCATCAGATGCACATTCCAGCATTGCCAAGATCAAGAATAGCAGATGGATGCTGTTAACTGAATCCCAAAATTGTGAAATGCGGAGATGCTAGTTTAAGGGATGCCAGAATCTGAGAGGAAGAGCTTTGATACCTGTTTCATATATGACCATTTTACAGCTTTTTTCCCCCACATTCTTCACCTTGTTGACCTCTGCTTCTTATCTAGCAGCCCTATCAAACCCCAGGCAGATCAAGACGTACCCAAGACCCCGTACTCGGAGAGAGAACTGTTGCACACGGTGTAGGGGGCCTGCTGCTCCCAGAGGTGATTCATAGGAACACAAGTTCTCTTGTCAACTTCTTGATCGTGAAGCACATGGTGACGATGGCTGCAAAGAGTTGTTCAAAGAGATTTATTAGCCAAGAACCATTTTGGGCTTTAACAGAGCTATTTTCAAAGCTAAAGCATCAAAGCTGTGTTCTGGACAGCAAGCACCATGGTTATCTCTGCCACACACAACACCCTGGTCTGGTTGAAACCAAGGGAGATAAAATTACAAATCTAAATACAATTGCTGCACTGTAAGGATTTCACTGACTATCCAAGGCTTCTCAAGCACTTACAGAAATTGAAAATACCTCATTGTTAGTAGAACTGGGGAGAAAGAGAAAAGGATAGGGAAGCTGTTGCTATAAAATAGAATTATTAAAATAAAGAAATTCAGAGGAACAAACTTTTTATGAAAAAAATTTGTTCTGCATTCCTCACAAATTCTAACATTTTCCTTGAAACGATTGTTGTTCGTCTGTAATGGAAAAAAATGTAATCTAATTTCAGCACTGAAACTTGAAGGAGTTGTATCCTCTTTCCTGCTATTTCCATTCACATGCACCATTTACAGTTCTCTAGAACACCATTAATCAGCATTAGAATGGGACATCAAGGAATCACTGAAATCTGAATCTTAGTGCACTTCCCTTTGCTATAATGAATGCTAGCAAAAGAGCTCTGAAATTCATCTACAACTCAACAATCTAAAGCCAGAAAAAGACTGAACCTTTGAAGAGCAGCATAAGGAGGGGAGTAGACAGAAAAGCGGAAATTCACACACCAAACAGCTGTTTGGCATAAATCACTTTTGCTGCCATAATTTTCATTTTGTCATTAAGCCAAAGACCTAGTTATGTGTTAAGCTTCTTGAGTACAAAGTTTTGTGTTTCCCTAGCAAAAGGTAATTAAGATGAGCATAGATGGCCAGCCAGAAATATACAGACATACAATTTGCACACGTGCAAATGTCAGATTTACTGACATCAAACCAGTACAGAATCAAGGCTGTCCCCCTCCCCTCTGTCCTCGAGAGTTTGTCTCCAAGAGGGGAAGGGGTCTGGTGCTTCCGTCAGAATCTAGATAAAGCTGCAATCTATTGATAGTGTTGAGGACTGAAACAGAAAGAAAAGAAGCCATCACATGGAATAGTGAAAGAAAGAACTATTTTCTAGACATCACTTTAGAAGATCCAAAATAGTGAAAGCACCCCATCATGCTGTTTTATTATGCCAACACAGTACATTCAGTTCTTCCCAAATTCTAGCCAATAATGTACCAGAGAAGACAGGCACCAAAATTTATTTCTCTCTTCTGCAAGCATTCACAATGGAGCACAGTACAGCATTCAACCCAGGAACTGGCACCACATCAAAGGTTTCAATTAAATACATCATTAACATTTTACTCTACAGAGAATCAGGTAAGGCAACAAACTGTATATATTCTACCAAGTGATGAGATCCTGCCTTCATACATAACCCATAGGCATTTAAAGTCTCAGTACAAAGGACCTTATTTCACTTTAAAAGCCTCACCAACTGGCAACATGTTTGTTCACAGAGTACACAAGTTCCAAGCAGCCACCACTGGAATGGTATTTAAAAGATTCAGGATCTGCTGCAGCAACTATCCTCTCTTCTCAACAATTAGATAGCATGCAACTGTGTTTTTAGTTAGAAATCATGGGGAAAGATACCATTTCTGCTTTTCAGCAAGAGAAGGTAAAAAGTGTCTAAAAATGTTTGTTCTGGCTTAAATATTATACTTTAAAATGCTGCTTACAGATACACAGGAAATTTGACTATTATTGACTTCTCGAACCTGTAACATTCAGATTAATGCTGAAGAAAGAGCCCAAACTTTCCTCTTCCTGCAGAAGACCATATTTTTTAAACAAATGCCAAGTTGTTTCTTTAAGTGTGGAACTTAAACAGTTTTAACATCATTTAACAGTTATCGCAGTACTGACCTGAAAGTACCTCTCTCCACATCCTGGCCACTTAGTCGGACATGTATCCCTTCTTTGAGAACAGAGCCAAAAGCCATGTATTCTGCTAAGGCCCAGTCAACAAGCCTGTTGTTGGTCATTTCCAAGCGGGCTTTCAAAATCCGAGAGAGTCCTATGTCAGAATAAAGATCAGAGGTGAATGGATCTATTCCAGAGAAATTCTTCGTTCACATTTAAATTCACCTTACATTCTCCTTCCTCATTGGCTAAACACAGATACCAAATCAGGTCTACAAACTGTTTTTATAGAACTAAACTGCTGACAAAATAAAACATCTTGCTTCCTGAGCAAACAGTTGTGTAATGTTCATACCTTGATTTTGAAAAAGAAAGTAAGGTTGACTGCGTCAGAAACTACTGAGGACAATTAAAAAGACCCATGGTGAAATTCTTCTTCCTCAAGGTTTGTTTTCACATCTCTAACTCCCAGTGGTGTTTTATGAGACTGAAAATAGCAATTTGGTTTCTGAATTTTTGTCTTCCTTTCCTAATTTTTTCTTGGCATTTGTCATATTGCACTTCTGGAGATGTTGCACAGTGAAAGAGGCTGGATTGATCAATACTATGAATATCATATAAATAGAAAAACGGTAGCAGCTGCCAATGGATTTTCAGTTGGTAACCAATAGCTGACTTTTCAGTGAAGATTTTACAACCTGGTGAGCCAAAACACAAGTTAAAACACTGTAACTTTCAAAGGGAAGAAAACTTCACAGCTGTACACAGGTGCTTCCAACTTCGAGGCCACAAGTCTCCTGTAGTCACTGTCAATTGACAGCATCTTATTTTCACATCTGCACTGGTGATTTTGGTAAGCTGTCCCATATGTTATTTTCCCATATCTTCCTTTCCTTACTTTCCACAATTTTACAGAAAAACATCCCACTTTCTTTCCACATAAAACTCTCATTAAAACTGCCTCACTTTAAGTAAAAAAACAATCCTGAAAATTTCCCCTTTAGAATATATTAAACATTTGATAAAAAAAAAAAAATCTTCCTGTTATTTGTTGCAAGACTATATGATAGTAAGCTGTTTCATTGTGAAAGGACAAAGTACTTCCAATTCCTGTTTCTTTCCCCTTCTATTTCTCCACAAATTCTCTCTTACAGCCTTTTAAACTGTATAAAAGAATCTAGCATACCATAATTGCTCTGAACCATAAATCTACCTTATATACTGGCAAGTGTTCCCTAGTGTCAATGGTTAATCAACTTACTAACAACAGACCAATTTTCCTTTTTAATTAGAATGTCTAATACTAAATTTTATTGGCCAAGTATGATTTTTAATTTATCAGTGTCACAACAAAGTGCACAAATGTGTATAAGAGTTAAATTTATCCATTAATTGTATCTGCTCAACAAGCCTGCAATTACAAACTGGGAATGCCCTATCATCATTACTTGTGTTTCATTTCCCAAAGGAACACAAACACATAGCATATTTACAGAAGACAAACTTTATTCCTTGATGGATGACTCTAGAGAGGATTAGCTTTCTCTCTTTAGAGATTTTAAAGAGAAAAAAGCTCTTTATTCCTTATCTTTAGTATGTACCCTACAAGTCAAAAAAGGAAAAAGATCTCTAAACAAAGGGTCTCCATGATTCCCCATGGAATGAGCAAGTTATTGCATCCAATAGTTGCTAGATTTCAACCTGCCCAGGAAATAAAACTATCTCAGAACTCTGACACAGTGTTGGGGCTCCCCAGTGAGATAAGCACTCACTATAATAGATGCCAAAGTGAGGACTGAATCTTTTTAGAACAAAAGCCAAGACTTTTTGGGGGGAAAATGCAAGGACTTGAAAAATGAAAGGAGTTATTAACTTAAGGTTGCAAAGAGTCTTTTACCTCCCTCAGAGGAAAATCTATTTTAATGAGGTATGAAACAGAAGTGGTGTGATACTGAAAGAATATTATGCTGAGAACAAGCAGCAGGAACTTAAATGTCACATTCTCCTCACCCATAGAGTAGAAGAATCAAAGTAAAAACAAGTTGCAGATATTTTTCTCTTTGAGAAATTGCCCAGGAATAACTTCTGTGCAGAAATAGAGTAATGAAGCATGACATGAAGCCAGTAGGAGACACAAAGCCTTCAGCTGACCTGAGTGTATTTTGAAGTCTTTGACTGGCACTGAACTAGCGACATTGCCAATGTGAGTCAGTAGCTCTTCTGAAATGCCTGTTGGAGGACAAGACATGCTCTTGGGCTCTCCATCCACGTTAAAGAAGCCTGGGAGGAAGAGATTTGGTGAGACGTTCAAGGATTGTTTAGGAGATATGTATATTACTTACAATTTATTCAACAACTCGAGTGACATTCTAATTAGCAGACTAAGCCTAGTTCTTCACCTTTCACTGGGAAACAATAATTTTGATTATCTGCATGACAACAGAAGCTGATCTTACAGGCACACAATGATCTATTTTGTTTCTGCTTTCACTCCCTGTGATGTCCAACTATGTGGGCAGAGGCAGCCAATAAAAGGCATATGGCACCTCAATCCCTCAAACAAAAATAAATAACATGAGACATACTTCTTCTTCCTGACAGCCCAGACAGTTAACAGTATAGGAAAACCACTTCTCTGCTAAACTGGAAAATGGCTTTTTCAAAGTCACAGCTTACTTTGCACATTTTTAAACAGAAGCATTTGTTTCAAGTTGATCTGGGAGAATGCTGGGAGATCTGGGAGGCAAATCAAAGAGCACATATTCCATTTTATAGGAACACTGTCTGATCAAATCTACTTAAATCCTAGATTCTGGACTCAAAATAAAAGCATGTTCAGGGTAAGTGAAAGGACATTCCTTACCAGGCCAAGGTGAATCCAGCCAGTGCTTGATATGCAGGATCTTATTATCTTTAGATCTAGTATATGCTTCTTCACATATTCTATCATACTTTGCAATTTCTTCCTGTAGAACAAAAACCTTCTAAAATAGATAAACATAATACCCTCATCTCTTACAGATGACACGTCTCGTTCAGCACGATAAAACAAGCTATTTGAGTCCATGAGAAAATTTAGTTAAAATAATGCAAATAAATAAATTTTATCTAGAATCAAACAGCCTTCCAGAAGTATGCTTATATACATTGCTCTAAATAAATCATATAGTTCACTGGACAGATGTTACAGAGGAATGTACCAGAAGCTGAAGCTGCAAGAATTGCTCTAAAATGAGACAAAATGGAAATATCAAATATAATTTACAGTCATACTTCTAAGATCAAAATAATCCAGTTCTCATACTCCCGGCTATGAAAGACACTGAAGTTTGGAAAAGGAGTTTCCGTAAAACTAGTCTGCCTTGGAGTGTCTAGCAAAAAATCTGCTGGCCACACCTCTCAATGGCAACAGATTGAATGCCATATTCCATAGAGGCAAAATGCCTCTGCAATATCTGTGTTTCAATCCAGAATCACACTGAAGTTACTGAGATAGCTAATCTTTAAAGGAATTAACAGCAATTTTGGGCGCAGTCTGTACAGCCAAACATCCATCCAGGATCCTAGACCCAGTCACTAAATCCCACGGTGCCTGTATTGGCACATGATATAATAAATGATTCAGGAAAGCTACTTCTGCCTGAGCTGTGATCCTTCTTAAAGACAACAGAATGCACCTACCCAAAGTGCTTATTTCATGATCTGCAATATCACATCACTACACCATTCTCAGAAGGTCCTTGAAAGTTTCAAGGCTCCTCAGAAGGTTTCGTCTGCATTCTAAACACCCATTCTCAAAAAAATTAAGGTAAAGATCTAACTAGCTTAATACAGACACCACAATCTACACTTCATCTTTCTGGAATACTTCAAGTGATCTATGAGCTTGGTTGAACTCTTGTAAGAAAACTAAAAGGTTAAATTGATTCGATTTCATCATTGCTGGACACAAACCTGCCAATGTTATCAATATGAAGGTATCAACAGGAGTATTTAAATACTGTCTTGCTGCTGAATTGAGGTCCCAGAGATGCGGAACAGCTGATAAATGCCTCTATTTTCCAATGTTCTTATTTAATCACCTTCTCCCTCAGAACTGAAGCAATTTTTTATGTGCAATATATATTAATTACTTCAGAGCACTTCTAGTCCTTTTGTTACAACAATAGTATTTACATGAAAATCCAAGCCAAATTGAACCACAAATTATCAAAGGGTAAAGACTTATCACAGTAAGGAAGTTTTCAAGCAGGCAGCATACAGTGACAGTTGGGTCTTTCCCCTTACAACTCCTTAGATTCCCTCTAACTCTGCTGGTATATACCTCAAACTCCTGCAGCGTCACAGTCCCATCTGCAATCAGTTTGTCAGCATATTTCTTCAGCACCGGCACCTGCTTATGGATCTGCTTGTACATCAGAGGCTGGGTGAACATGGGCTCATCCATTTCATTGTGCCCTCTCCTACGGTAACAAACCTGAAAAGGGAAAGATTGCTTCTGCTGATAAAGAAAAATGTAAAATGGAATATTTCCATTTCATAGTTTTATAGAGATCTTAAGAGGTTTACTGCAAAAAAACCATTCATGGCTTTTTGTGGACCTGTTAGTTGCTTGGTATTTTAAAATCAAGAGACTAAAGGCCTTTTAAATCAAATATGTTCCTTGACTGGACCTTCAAAGTCACAAAAAAAATAAGGAGTAGTATATAAGGCACAGAATGAAAAGTTAAGAAAACCAAAACTTACCAAGTCAACAACCACATCCTTATTGAAAGTGTTTCTCCACTCTGCAGCTACGTTGCACACGTACATCACTGCTTCAGGGTCATCAGCATTCACGTGGAAAATGGGAGCATTGACCACACGAGCAACATCAGTGGGATATGGAGATGAACGGGCCATACGGGGGTCTGTGGTGAAGCCAATCTAAAAATTCCAGAAACTTCTATTAAAACAATTTCAGCACCTTCCTCTATTCTGTTTTCAAGTTTGCATTTAATAGCCATTCATAAAGCAACATCAGCTTTTCATTGTGGCTAGCTAGCTTCTTTTTGCTCCCTTAAAAATCAAAGTAAGCTTAATCCAATTAAGTATTAAAATTGGAATTGAATACACGTAGGTGATGAAATATTATCCACTCAAGAGCTGCTAGATACTAGGATCATTTTCAGAAATATCTCAACCATTCTAATAACGAGAGGGGGCAAGGAACCCAGTTAATGACAAACAATAAAAAGAGATAGATGGGCAAATATTCAGCAGATAAGTTGATTGGAAAAGACTGTACTTGTTACCTGGTTGTTGACCACAACATGGATAGTGCCATTTGTAGTGTAAGATGGGAGGTCACTAAGATGAAATGTCTCATAAACCACTCCTTGTCCTGCAAAGGCAGCATCCCCATGTAATAATATGGACATAACCTAAGAGGGAGAATTGTACACACATATCCACACACATATTAGAAAGGAAAGCCGCAATTTAAGTTTCTCCACAAGATTTACTGGCTCCCTATTTCTGTAGTGCTTATTAAAAAAACACAGTAATTTTAAAATAAAATATAAAATTCTCAGCATTCTGATGCCTTTTCTCAGCTTGCAAAAGAAATAAAGCTTTGAGCCTACTTCCTGAAGTTACCCTTGAGGTTTCATGTCAGAAACCTTACCTAGTTCAACAGGTGATATATCCCTTTTGTGAAGGAGGAAAAGAGGAAGATTCTGTGATATGAAACTACTGGCAAACTATTTTTATTGGAAATACCATGAAAAACTACCATTAAAAGTTACTATATTAAACAATTTTTACCTTTTTCCCTGCCGTATCCCCTCGATAAAACTGTTCAGCTTTTGTCTTGCCTTGCACAACAGGATCAACTGCTTCCAAGTGAGAAGGGTTAGCCATCAGGGACAGAGTGATTTTCTTGTTTGTTTTTCGATTGATCCTCTCATGGTACATTCCCAGGTGGTATTTTACATCCCCAGATCCCTAACAAGACAGATGTAATCACAAATCAGACCTGCTGCATCTGATTCACTAGGCCTAAAATTTGTGCTTCAGCCTGAAAAATGCATCTGGTTACCTCAACATCAGTATGCATTATGGGTTTGACACCATAATTTCAAACTGGGACAGTGCCTATTCTATTATCTTTCTGTTGTCATCAAACATTAAATAAATACTTACAGCATATTAATACTCTGTTCATTCATATAAAACAAAAAGAGATGCTTAGAGGTTATGAACTCTGTCAAATGGAATTTATTTATCTACAGTCACTCCTGAGAGACCTTCTGCATGCTAGAAGTATAACAATTTTTGAATTTGTTAAGAAATTTCACCAAATCATGTTCCTCAAACTAGAAAATAAGGCATTGCAGCTGATAATGCTGTTTTCATAACAGCCATGACCAAAACAACTGAAAACTATCTTGAATGTTGACCTCTCTATAGAGAGGTCTAATGAAAAAGCATCTTACCTCATCAGCTGCTTCAAGTTTGGGATCAAACTGACAGAAGATCTGCTCCAGCTCTTTTCGGATTACATTAGCCAATACATTCAGCCGACCTCTAAGAAAATTCCACAGTTATCTCTCAAAAATGGTACTAAGAGAGTCAACAGTATAAAACTCACAAAATCTGCAAACCACCCTGTCAGAAATTTGCAAATGTTCTTTTCAAACTTTTGAGCTTGAAATCCTTGATTCAACCCTTCTTCCAATAACAAAGTTCCTCCAGTGTGTTCCCTCAGACATTTTAGAACACCTTGTTATCCAAATGAATTTTGTAGCTATCTAGCAGTCTTTAAATAATCACATTATAAATTAGTTAAGGCAGACTGCAAAAGTAAGTTCAAAATTACCCCACCAAGCTTTCCCAGTTCTCTGCAATAGCAGATATACCATGGCTGCTTTCACGTTTGCTTGCAGCTTCAACATATACTTAGGAGAGTTTCTCTACCCTTTGCTTTTGAAACCTGTAGCCTCTTACTGACAGTTCTGTGTTCCAATTACTTCTTATGACTGACTCTTTCTACCTCATCTTCACTAATATCAACTTTTAAAACAAAATTCTAGAACCCAAAACTTGTCCCAACACTATATGTCTATTTGTTGGGGAGTTTCCATTGGCGTTACCTGTGAGGCATTCCCATTATAACATATTCAATTCCCATTTCACTGGATTTATCAATGATAGTCTTAAGTGCTGGAATCATTACTTCACATCCTTCCAAACCAAATCTCTTTTCAGAAGACCACTTGCGAGCAAGGAAGTCTTCAAATCTTTGCCAAAAAGAAAAAAAAAACAAGAGAAATTATTTGTACTAAGGTAATGTAGCAAATACTTATTGTTTACCATCTTACAGCAAATGAAGTTACACTAACTGTTTTAAAACATCAGTGAATACAAGTTATATGCCTCTGGAATTCAGTCACATGGAGAAGGAAACACAGGAGAGGATTCAGTCTTCTTTCTCCCCCATCTGAAAACCATTTACTAGGACTTAGAAACAATTAAGAGTCCCCATCTCAAAGACAAAATTCTTTTGACTTCCCAAGTCAAACTCTGTTCTCATGGACACAAATCTGATCACTAGGAAGACAGAGTGACAGCAAAGAAGTCTCTTCTGTGAATTAAAGAAAATATAACAGAGAACCTGTATTTTCTAATATTTGTAAAAAAAAAAAAGAGCAGAAAGCACACCTAACCCATATAGCAAGGCTCCTCAGACTGTGTGATGTAACACTTCGGAATGAGCCAAGAAGCAGGACACTGGTATTTCTGCCTCAACTTCAGCAGCAGAATGATGTCACTCCCTGACAGCTCCAAGCTCTTTCATTCTTTAATGCATTTGGGCCAGAGGCAATGTGAGTGATTAAAAAGTACCTTTCAACAAACACTGAAAGGATTATACATTGTAAAGCCTGGAGATAGAAAAGGCAAAGAAAATACATCTTCATGAAAGTAGCTGTATTGGTTACATCATCTGTGCAGTGCCTCGCCTCATAACACTGCCATAATCCATTAATACTCAGCTTATTCCTCACTTAATCCTGACGTTTACCTCTTTAGACTGAAATCCTAAAGGATATGAACTGTTGCCAAAAGTGTCTCCTAGTTCACCCATCAATACCGTACAATACAGCCATCTAAACATGCCAGACCTGCAACTGAGCTGGTCTGTCAGAATTCCTCAGGGAAGACTGCGGGGCTATGCCAGTTTAGATGTAAAGGGAAAGAAAGCACTGTGCCATGTGAACAGCAGGCCCCACAGGGTGAAGGAAAGCAGTGCACACGCTGATTTCTTCCTCTTTGCAGCAGCAAGTTAAGCCACTAGTGGACAAGCAGCAAGTTCATTACTTGAGGTAAACTGCCACTAAGTGTGCACAGCTACAGTATTTCAGTCACACCTTGCCAGTCCCCCACACGCCACTGGGAGTCTCAGAGACCCAGCCTCTGGCACTGCATGCATTTCCAGTGAGGAAAACATCTGGTGAAAGCTGGTTGCTCTCTGGAAATCTGGAAATGCTTGACCCTGCCCAGATCAGGCTCCACATCAGGGTCTAACATGTTTACTAATGCATTACAAAGTAGCTCTGAAATATACAAGTATTTTACATAAGGAGGACTTTAAAATGACTGTTTGTTCAACAACCTATCAGTGAAAACCATAAAGGATGAGAAATCCAGCTTTAAAATTCAGTTTCAAGTACCTGAACTCTGTAGTTCTTGGAATGAACATATTTTAAAAACAGTATTGAGCAAAATAATGAAAACCTGCTTTACAAAGCCACAAAGCTAAAGAGGACAACCAGTTTTCCACAAAACTAGACTTTTTTCCTAGGCCATTTTCAAACAATAAAATAAAAAGCACTCTAAAAATAGCTGGATAGAATTTTTTTACAAAAATTTTTTCCCCATTCAGCAGACAATTAATTTGGCAGAAGATAAACATTAGGCTCCTTCATACCACTAGAAACCTTGATCTTTCCACAGCTTAGGCAGGAATAAAAGCACAAATTCTTGGCTTAGTATAAATGGAGATGGTTCATACTGAGGGCCTTTTAAACAAACTTACTCAAGTGTAATATTCACTTGACCATTAAGTGTCATTTTTGTTTCTGTTTAAATGAAACAGTTAATGAGACATTATAACACTGGCAAACAAAACACCTGGCAAAAACATCTTTTGACACCTCCTTTGAGCGCTTCATTTTTAGGTCTTTGAACATAGAATCTTAACCAAAAAGTGTGCAGAAATCTCTGTCACTTGTGTTTCACAATGGACATACACACTGTTTCATATTGTAAGGACTGAAATAAATCTTGTGTCTGAGAAGCCTTTTTCCAGGGGTAAGAGGATAATTCAGTCTCTGGGATCACAGTATTTCCAAACAGATAGCCACAATGGGAGTAGTCAAAAAACTATTTCCAAATGTGCTTTCTTGTAGATACTAAAACTGCGGCTGCCAGGTCACACAACAGCACAACACATCTTGGCACATCTCAAAATGAAAAGGGCAGAAACAGGATTTGAAATCACACAGCAACATCGCTCTGACACTTATTTTCTGAAACAGGCTACAAATCTTTAATACAAATGTATATTACTAGCAAGTTGAAACAATTTTTCCCTAGTTTAACTCCTTAAGCCAATGAAAACATTGCCAGGCATGTCACTAAAGGCCTTTTAAGATAACAGAATACTAAGTCACAACACGGACCCTGACAGATTGCTCACAGCATACACTTTCCTTTGATACAGCCGCCAGGTTAACTACACCCACCTGTACCCCAGATTTCAGAGAGATTGTTCCCCCCACATCAGCAGCTTCCAAATCCCACAGCTCCCAGGCAGTACACACAGAGCAGTATCCCAGCCCAGTGTACCTCATAGAGCGCACCAGCCTTGCCAGCAAAGTCCTTTTATCCTCGTTCGAGAACTTCATGATTCCCGGTGTCTCAAACTTCTGACGGATCCACTGGCACTGCTCCACATCGTTGATGAACATAAACTCCAGGCCAATGTGTTGGCAGTAGGTATGCTAGCAAGTGAAAACACCAACAGAGAAGCTTTAGGAGACAGTGGGCCACAAAGAAACTAATATATGTTTTAAATTCTATTCTCTCCTAATTATAATTTACTCTCCTGAAAATAAGTTACTCTCCTGAAAGCTACCTTGTCTTCTTCCACAATATCTCCCCCAAAGTAATTCTAAAAATGAATAAATTGTTTTACTGAATCTAGTTTTGTATCACAAAGCTTTCTGTACAAGGTAACATTTCGAAATTTTTTAACTGCAAGATTCTCATCTAGTGCTACACTCAAAGTAGGCCAACAAACCTGCCTTATACTGACTGGAACATTTCACCTAACTCAGTGCTGTTCTTACAGGCATAGTGCACTCTTCAGATGCATCAGCAAAAATTTCAAGTAATTTATCAAAATTTGTCTTTTACCACATCCTTTTTAAATGTCACCTTAAACCAAGAAATAAAGGCAGTGAGAAGACAGCTATGAAGTCTAATGTAAATTATCTGATAACTGTCAAACCTGGAAATTTGAAAAAAATCCAAGTGGCTGAGAGCAGAGAAAGGACAGGGAGAAATGCAAAGACACAGTGGAAATTTTACCTCCTTGTTCATTTTTTAAATTTTCTTTTTCTTACCTTAAAAAGATTATTTCATTTGGAAAAAAATATGTCCAAAGTACAAGTCAATAGAAGTAAGACCTAGTGTGAGTTTGAGATAAAACTCTCAACACAGTGTCTGCTCTCTACTGCCTGTAAGGAGTTGAATGGTGACCTCTATTAAAAAAAAAAAATAAAAAAAAATCCAAAGCTCTAGATAGAAGAGGAAAGCAGAGGCTTATCTCTCCTCAACAAAAAGCAGTTCCTTAAGGCTCTTAGATTTTACAATTGATTTTGTCCTTTTATTTACACATTACAATTTTAAGGATTATTGCTACGCAGATAAGCTAGAAGTGCAAAAACAAACAAACAAAAAAACCCCATCCAAATATAGAGCTCAAATTCACAACAAAGATAATGTGGTTTAACAATTTACCATGCCTCAGCTAATCTAACATAAAAGTCAAACAACTGGGAATACCTAACAATGACTCACTCAGCAGTCTACAAATTCATTACCATTCCTACTTGCTGCTTTGCTATTTGGAGTTTGCCTCTAATGATATTTAGTACTTCAAATTAGTTTTTCTTTGAATTATTTTAGCTTTGATGACTTCTGATGGCATAAACCATGTCACCTGTCAGATAATTACACTCTAGAAAAAAGACTGGGGATGGAAAACAAGGACCATCACTGTTTACCAGCTACAGCTAGACTTTCATGAATTTGGTACCCAGCCTTCATATTCTTCCTCAAGGTCTCACTAGAGCTGGGGATCTGAAAGCAACCCGTGAATGTCCTGAGCATCATGTGCACAGGTATTTTATCTGTGGTACAACACTTAAAAGACAATTTCTAAAGGCTCTACTCCTTGAAAATAGTATCAGTTCTTTCCAGAATGAGGACTGGCAGTAATATTCTGCCATATTCACCTCTTTTATACTCATCCTTAATCCACCTATTTCCAATATCCAGCTAATTGCACCAGTGGTGCTGCTACCTCTAGAAAAAGTAGGTTATTTTTAATGTTGTTGGAATCCTTTACATTCTCTATTTATAACTGGCAAACAATAAGGGGGTTTTGTGACTGCCACTTAGAAAAAGTTCACTTAAGTGTGAATGAAAACACAATCACAAATGAAAACATGTGCCACTGACCTCCAGGCGTTTGATGATCTCTCTCAAAGAAAGACTGTTCTCATTTCCTCCTATGAAGGTGGTTGTCGGCAGCTGAAAGACTTTGTCCAAATCTGATTCATGCAAACCATAAAACCCTACAACAGGTACATTTTTGATTTGCAAAGTAGAACAGGAGACAAAAAGGAAGCCAGCATTTTTTTTCAAGCCATGGCAATTATATTTAATAAAGCGGTATTAGATTTAAAGCAGATTAAAAATTGAAAGTGAATATTTTGAAGGTATGCATTGGTAAAATAGACTTTAGTCAGGATTTTAAAAAGAGTCTTTGAATTAGTCATTATTTGATTCTTTCTTAAATGCTCAAATAAAACAACTGAAATTGGAATCATCCAAGCCTTTTTTATATTTTACCATATTCAGGCACGTGTCATCAATTTTCCACACTACTTCTCACAGCTCGCTGTTTAATAAAATAACCAACTCTATCATGAGCAATAAACGCAAAAAGAATCCCTTCTCACCAACAGAAGCAGTTGGTTGGAAGCATTTTACACTAATAGACAGACCAAGAGAATGCACAACAGGTTCAATAAAATGCTATACAAGCACTATGGAGACCTTTCAAGGTATTTCTATTCACTCTCTCTTTTTAGGAAAATTAGTTTGAAATAGCCATGTAATGACCTGTACAGCTCTAGCTCCCAGGTAATGGCCCCTTATAAAATATACAGATTTCCACAAACCCACCATCTAAACCTTGTTTAGCCACATTGACCCACCTTTATTTGGACATATCTAAACTAGTTCTGGCTGAGAATATTATTTAAGAAAATATTTAACCTAATTATTACGCAGTTTCAAAAGGCAAAATACACAACAGACAAAACTGAAAGACTGGTACCAATGCAAAATGAAGGCCTTGTATAATACAAGTTTAACTGAGACTTGTTAAATGAAGGAAGGAAAAAAGTTCTTATAATTGTAAGAAGCAAAGGTACAACATTTATAATACACATTACCCACAGTTATGTAGTTTTAATGTATATATAAGGTTCTATATGTTCCTACACATAAAAAATATTTGAAAAATTAAAAATCACTTCTCCATTTTTAATTTTCAACTCTTTATCTTGTTTCCAGATAAGCTGTAGACATCTACTTTAACAATGATATGATAGCATGCACATAAAACTCTCAAATCAGTAAGTTGCTTAAATGTTAAGTGACTTTTCTGAAGATAGGCCATAGGCCTGCATTGCTGCCACTTTTACTATACAGCATTATCAGTAAATAACACAATTTTTGCTTTAAAAATAATACATTTTAAAATGTTAATTTTGGTTTTAATAAAAATGTTAATAATATATTAAAATTTCAAACCTGGACTGGCCAAAAAAAGCATAGGTACCACTACATGTCCTTTTTGATATTGTAAAAGGTTTTTTCCCAGCAGGAAGGGAAAGTGACACAGGGGATGACAGAGCCTTTAGTGTCATTTGAAACAAAGCAGTGCATTTATTTCTTCACTTTTGCTGACTTTCCCTCAGACTTCAAAGGCTCTTGATGTCCTCTCATGCATAAACCAGAACACGTACAGGAGTGATTTGGGCACACACAGAACATCTGTGCTTTGTACCACAGCACCACATATTTACTGAGGCATCACCTCGTGTTTAAAGAGATATGACCTTATTGAAATCCTGAAAGCAGCTCTATACTGTGACTCATGCAGTGGGTACATCTGTAACTACCTGCATTTTTAGAAGCAACTCTCAGAAAAATACCTACCACAAGGTTTTTCAAAAAGAAACCAGAAGATGCGACAAAGAAAATGCACAGAAAAATGAAGTATTAAAATACTTTCTGTCCTGCCAAGGACCTTTCAGAATTTTCTTGCCTGGAACATTCAAGCATAGGCATTTGAGATCTTCCTCTATTTTAGCTGTACAAAGACTGGCTTAGAAATTTAGTTTCCCCTTGCAAACTGAAATCTCTGCAATTACACTCTCAAACACATCCCCCATCTCATTGAGAGGTCAGGCATATTTTTCCTATGGGCATGAGGGCTTCAGTGGATGCCTTCTGACCAGTCACAGCACCCTGTACTTAATTATTTGTAGAGTTTAAAGAAATGTGTACTGACATGCTAGTAGTCACCCATGCTCCAAATTAGTTATATTTGCTCAGTAAATGTCTCATGTGTTTTTACTAGGTACTCTTCTTTAATTAAAGCTGACAAACTTCAGAGAGAAGACCCAATTTGTGCAAGCACCTCTATTTACTCTTAGGCATCCACTTCCTTAATATGATCAGAACTGTTTCTTTCCCAACACCATAAATAGAAAACAGAGCGCCAAAGAGGCAGTAGATACGCTTACAGTAAAATTAAACAGAAAGTGTTTTATTTACTTCCTGCACTATGTTTTATGTCTGATCGAAAAAGCTTCCCTACACATCAAAGAAAAATTGATTCAGTGTCTTCATCAAGTAGAAAACCACATTTTAAACAAACCAGGTAGATTGAGGAGCAGAGAAAAATCAATCAGGTGCTTTTTTATTCAAGTAGAGCGAGGCAAAGAAATTGATCAGCGCCAATTTCTCAGGCACAAGCCCTCCTAACAATGAAAACAACCTTTGCAAAAGCAGCCCCTAGTGCACTACACTCTTTCAGTAGTAAACTGAAGTTTATAATAGAAGACATAATCTGCATTGGATTATATCCACAGGTAAAGAATTCTATGCTTCCCACATTTTCTTTTGATAACTTCAAAGAGACTTCTTCAAGGTACACATAAGGAAAGAGACATTAGATTCCAAATTTGCTATGAAATTTACCCTAAGTTCCTCTGTCCAGTGCTTGCTTTATTGCTTGGTTTCCCTACTGATGAGCCTTCAGATGTCCCCAGTGCAAACAAGTATGAACAGTAATGCTGTAAGAGTAATTTGGATTATCAGAATATATTGATTAGTATTAATTTCTGGTGTGGTTAAAAAATAAAATACTTAGGGGGCTTATAGAGCATTTATAACAGTCATTCATCAGACGATGAAATCACAGGAACCTCACCTGTGATCTCAGAGGAGAAATTCCATCATCCTGAAATTTTAGCCTCCTTACAGGTGCTGAAAGGCTCTATGTCATGATATGAGCAAGCAGAAAAGGTAGAAGCATCCCTGCCCATAGAGGGGAGTTGGAATTAGGTGATCTTTAAGGTCTCTTCCAACTCAAGCCTTTCTATGTATCTGTGCAATGTCTTATTAAATCACCTCAGTCCAGTGATACACAAACGAGCATTGCAAATGAGAAGGCACACAGCTTACACACCAAGTTTATCGATTGTGGTAATAAGGTCAGATGGAATAAATGAATCCAAATCTGCATCCAGAATTCCAAGGGGATCTAGCTGAGCCACATGATGGCCACGGATCTGTAAAAGGAGGAAAGTAAGCAAAATGATATCACACTAAAAGTCTGACAAAGGGAAAAAATTAAACATATCTCTCCATAGTTTGTATATCAGCCATTAAGCTGAACAAGCAAACACCACTAATGTGATGACAGGGTTACATATTCCCCAAGTTTTCCAGAAAAACAAAAAATAACCATTATATTACTGATTACATGTATACCTCTATCAAAAATTACACATTACAACATAATCTTCATTATGTCTGACACACAATTTTACTGGGATTGCACTGGCGTTTTAGTGAAGAAGTCTACTAGAGAGTACACTCTCAGTCTTCGGGTAATATTAAGAAACTAAGATGAGCCTATAGATCTTACCATTTGCCAATTCAGTCATTTTGTATTTTTGCCTGAATCCTCCTTTCTGCACCTGCAGTATATTAAAATACAGAATTGCTGACTTAAAACAGATTGGTGCTGAAGTAGTTTATATTGGCAGTGAAGGGATAACTCTTCCTGAGCTCTGTACCACATTAGATAGCATCTGACAGCATTTATTTTCATCGAAGAAATTTCAGAAATTTGATCTGATAGAATCGATATTCAAGACACTGAAGAACACAAATTGAGTGAGGAATTTAGACAGCTTTCAATGATCAGTGTGACTGGTGTTAATGCATGCCACAAGTTGCTATAAACTAGTGAATAATCATATAACATTGCTACAGAAGAAATAAATAATTGATCCCAGAGAGTCACAAATATAAAACAATTTTTAATATACCTTTTATGTGTGACTTTCTTATACCAAATTAATTCATTAAAAGTTCTGTATAGAGGAACTTACTAACAATATCTCTGTATAATTTTTCTTTTTAACAACAAATTTGCATCCCTTGGGTAGAATTTCATTCACACTACTGATATCCTAGTTGTCCCTGAAAAAAACCCAAAATTATAAAGTGCAATATTAACAATGAAGGGCATCACACAGTAATAGAATATGATTACAGTGTGGTTCATCAAGAAGGGACCTGTAAAAACACTGTTCAATTTTTGTATATTTGCAAGACAGTTTATAACAAAATGGTTTCCAGTCATAAGAAACCAGAAATACAGCATCTTTTTTAGAACTACCAGCCCTGTAAACTCAGCCTGATTTCTGTGATTCTTTGCATCTCATGAATCACCAGTAATGAAACTCTGACAGGCCAAATGACACCCACAGCAACATCTGTGCCATCTGACTGTTTACAGCAGCACTAAGTTTATCTGACTGGAACAAAGCAAACAATTCTGTCTCAAACATCATCAACAGGAAAGAATTCACCTCCCTAAGCTACATGTGCTCTTCAGTATTAATAGGAAGAGGAAGAAGATCAGCAGGAATGCCAAAACCCAGAAAGGTAGACCAGTAAATGCTGTGCCATATTATTCCAGGAGCAGTTTGGTCTTTAACTGAACGACAGTATTTTCCTCAATATCAAGATATTTTTTTCATGAGTCCTACTACTTTCACTGAATACAGAGAACAGTAACATCTGCAAAAATCAAAGATCAACCTTGTGAAAATACATACACAGAAAATTTTGATCAATTGCCATATGACTAAATACAAAGCAAACACATCCCACTGAAAATCCTTCTTTCAGTGTTCCCAGTGCTCTCTGCTACAACAAGCAATAGATTAACTGCCGTCTCAAAGTCCAGCTCAACAGACCACAAAGCAGTTTACCACAAAAACCGTAAAACACTGACAGGTCTGAGAAATGAAAATTCTGTATCCTTCTCCATTTCATTTCTTTATCAGGCAAAGGAAGGTCACAAATTATCATACCCCTTCAACACTGAACTTAGAAGGCACTAAATACCTTTTAAAAAGCAGACAGCTGCCTTAGGCAATCCTCTGTGACTGTTTGTCGCAGACACATGGGTGCCTGCCATTTCTACAGACATTTCTGTTCCATCACTTGACAAATACAGGGAGCAAAATGGCAATCCTTGAATTATTTTCAGATAAATTGTGTCAAAGCAGCCTAACTTTCTCCAATTTTCTCTAATACTTCACCAATTTTTTACTGCAAAATTGTTTATTTTCTACATATCTATTTCCAAGAAAATTTCACATACTCTTTATAATCACAAACATTTCTACTCTTTTACAACAACCCTCCAACTCAATGGTGGCAATGCGATGTGTACAAAAAAAAGGTGTTTTAGGAAGTTCCTCTTCCATTCCTCTCATGGATTTAAAATACTTAAGAGCAGGGAGGAACAGATCTGCTCAAATCAAACAGTAGGAAATTTCTTGGGAAGTGACTAATTTAAAAAATACTTGTGGAATATTTTGTTAAACACAGATCCAGTTTTATGGGTTGGTTATTTTTGCAGGGGGAGGGGGTTTACATAATTTTAAAGCCTTTTATTGAAACTAAGATACTAAATACAAGTCTAAACAAAAAATATTTAAACTTGCTTTTTCATTTGGAAAAAAAGTCCTATCCTAACCTGTCCTATTTCAAAGTTCTTTCTTCTATTAGAGGAAAAATAATGAAATTAGACTTAATTTCTTAATTTAATAAAAGGGCTAAAAATCAGAGTATTGAAAAAAACAGATTTTGATGAACAGCTCTCTAAAAGAATCCATCAAAGTTAACCAAAACTCAGTACTGTCAGTCTCCCAAAATTCAGTTTCAGGTTAACTCATCATTTCTCCTCTCTCTTTTTACCTATAATCTTGCTCAAATCAACAATCTCGAGATTCACCACAGATGTACATTCCTTCCTTTCTTAAAGAATGGCAGTAAAACTGTAGTACAAATGTTCCCAGAGATAAAGGCAAACTTTCACAAACCACTAGCTCCATAAAGTCTTTCTGGGCTAAACCAATGACTAACATCAGGTGTGTGGGTAATCTGGATTACGAATTTGCTAAACCAGAGGATCACCCCAGTCTGAATCCAATACCTCCATGTTTAGACACTGTGTTGCAAAGAAAAGCTGTCTAGTTCAAGGCATTTTGGATCAGAAGCAAGACATAGTTAAGACCAGAATACAAATGAGAACATAGAAAGGAAGAAGGTTGTCTGCACAGAAGAGGCCTTCCCACACCTACCCCAAAATGCACTTACTTGGTATGCTCTTATCAATGACTGCACGGCAAGGTGATCTTCAACAACCTTTTCAGCCGTCCCTGGTGCTGGGGCCAGGCCGTGACTCTGCAGAAATGATCCCTTTCCTTCCAGCTGAGCTGGTAGATGGGTTGCTTGGCCAGTGTTAGCACTTCGGAAAAACACATCCCAGGACTGGAAACATGTACAGAGAAGACAGAAATATTTATTACTTCAAACAGAAGTCTAATCCAAAAGCAGCTCTTTCAAGCTGCAGATGGAACCTCACTGCATTACAGTATTAAACACCATTAGCAGACAACAACAAAAAAAAAAGAGCATTGATATGTCCCAGTTTCAGTAGCAATTGTGCGTTTTATTTACACAGAACACTTTTCCTCTCCTTTCTTACACCAAGCTTGCTCAGCAGAAAACTCTCCAGCACACAGGACTGTAAAGCATCTTCATATATTACCCATTCACACAGCACTTTTTAATTGTGCTGTTTATTCAGGCAGCCAATAATGGGTACAATATAATGCTGCTGGTAAGAGTTATCAAGCCTATAAAACAAAGAATCTTAATAAACTAAATTAATCCATTCCTTTAAAGATATTTATAGAATTTATGGTACTTCAAGATACTCACTGATTATGCTAAATCAGAATCAGTCCTTAAGAGCTTTTCTTGAAGAAACTTTAAAAACAATTAAAGTTTTCTTGAGTGAGACTCTTGTTCTAATTTCCCTCCCTCAACACCTTAGGTTACCTTACCATGAAAGAAATTACGGGCCTAGTTTCAGGTGCAAGCCATAATTTTAGACTACTTATCTCAAAAACCGAATCACAACAGACAAAAAATTCTTTTATCTCCTTCTGTGCTTCTACAAAAGCTACTTCACTCACATATGCCCAAATCTTATTTTCCTGAACTGTTTTCATTCTGATGAGGTGGTCACAGTGCCAGGTTAGAATGGTACCAGATATATGAATGCTAACAGAGAGCAGCAGAATGGGACAAAACATGTGAGACACATACTCAGCAAAGAAGGAAGTCTGTGTAAAACACTTCCCATTGGCTAACCTCAGAAAACTCAGAAAAAAATGAAGCTATTTAAAAATGTACATATCTTTGTGACTGGAACAGAAGAACTGCAAAAGATAAATTTCTGCAAGGCTTGCAGCCTTGCAGATTTCCATTACATTTTAAATAACCAAATGCCAGAAAAAAAGAAAAAGTAGCCCAAAGCAATTATTTTTAAAAGATTACTTAATGTATGCATTACAGAACCCACAAAAGAATCAAAATAATGCAATACAAGCATGGCGTGACAGAAAAATATTTACAAAATCCTTTTTTGTTTCATTAACAAAAAAATCTTCATACTGAAATTTCTAACAGCTCTATGGTGCTCAGAAACACCATGAGAGGGGCAGCATAAAGGAGCTAAACATCACCCAACCTTCCAAGTTCAAATTGTGGAAGTGGGAGCATTCACTGAACCTGTGGCTGGGAATTTCATCATTAACATGAGGCCACTGCCCAAGAAACACTGCTTTAATGCACCCCTCTTATTTCTTTATTCAGACAAAGCTGCATCAATACAAATACAGTAAACTTAGTTTATCACCCTGCTCTTCCACAGGCTTATCTAAACATAGCCTGACTTTTATATGCCCTGACAAATTAGGGCAGACAGATCATGTGTGGTGGCCAGTTCCAGACACACTGATGAAGAATTCATTCCTCCTCCTTTCTCTTATTTATGCCCATTTCCTATATTCTTCTTACCTTGACCTCTTGGCAGCCACACTGAGATTAGAAGTCTGAATTTACATCCTGTAAGTGGTCTACAAGAGCCTATTAGTGTGACTGTATTTCATCTGGGATTCTCTCTATACACCTTCTTGATCTGTGTTAAGAACAGTACTATTATTCCATGCCTACACAGCACCCAGTCTGAGAGGCTGGAGACCCTAGTGAAGAACAATTATAATCCCTTGTTTAACTACTGAAGTTACTTAGACTGGAGAAATTATTTGTGCCATACACAATTATAAATTTTCATTAAACATTAAATTAGGAAATTCTAGACACACATTTGGATCTGTGACATCTCTCACATTCTATGTTTTAATAAAGAATTTGCTTTGCTTATGTTAAGGTTTCTTCCTTACTTTTTCTAACACCAATAATAATAACATAACTACTCCTTTGTTGAGTAAAACCTTTCATTTCAATGTAAAAGTTATCACAGTACAAGCCCACAAACAACTGAATGTGTTTTTAGACAAGAGCTCTGCTAAGAGAGTTGTTAACAAACTCCAAATAGACTTGCCCAACAAGTGATCTGTTTAAGGAGAATCAGTATAGGGCAGTTTCTTCATGCAAACTCACAAATATAAAGAAAATGTTTCCATCTGAAGATGCAGCCAGCTAAGATAGAATGGACCCAGACTATTTTTTTCTATCACATTTTTGAACTTATTGATTTGTTGGACAGCCTTGACATTTAATCAGAGGGGAGGGAAAATACATCATTTGGCTACAGAAAATTAGTTTTTACTAGATACACATCCATCAAAGCCTTTACAAATTTCTGTAGTGTCTTTCAAGATTGATACCAGATTATAGTCTTCAAGTTCTGTGTATCAATGTCAGTCTTTGGCAACAGCATTTGCCACGTGACTGAACAGATAGAAGATCGGCTTGTTCTCACAGCAAACCTGCAGCTTCCCAACTAAATTAGTAAAGTTCTTCAAGAAAATGGTAGAGGAGATTTATAATACAAAATACATTCACCAAAAAAAATTAATATAGTGATAGATGATACATTTTCTTTCCTTCTGCCAGCAAATCTATATTGTAGCTAACCATTATTTTCTCAAATCATTTAATACAATTCAAGTGATTCAGTGGCAACATTTTACTATTATATAATAAACAGTATTGCAATTAGAATAACAAGTATTGTCTTGATGGTTTGGGGTTTTTGTTCCTAGTGCCATCACAATATTCATCAACTGCAGTGAGGACAGTAAAGTCTTAGAGGACACACATTGACCACCACTATATCATTTTAAAAAGAGAATTAATAAAATGCAGTCAAAGCAAAACCCCTACATTTTTTCTTAGTCCATAAACCAAGGAGGTGATTACACACCCACAGCAGAGTGGCTGCACACAGGATAACATGGCAGGCATTACGTACTCCATAGCCAACCATGCAGTTTTGTAATTAATCTTGTGATAGTAATAACTGAGCCTTGTCAAGCTTCTCTCTTATGATCTATGGCCCTGACACCAAGCTTCAAGGAGAAATAATGACGCCTTTTTCAGAGCACACGTCATTTTATTCTGATTGTTGTTTTGGCTGCTCTGATGATAGGAAATTCAAAAGGCAAGGAAAAGCAGGAAATCATCTGAAATGGATATGTACAAAGAATAAAAACTCATATATATGTATATATATATATATGCATATTCCTTGGAACACAACCATGATATACATACAAAGGAGAAATTCTTAGAAGCATTGCATGTGCTCATTGGAATGTGACAGCCATATTTCAAACAGCTGTAAATAAGCATATGTGAGAAGACATGTCCAGTCAAATCCTCTGAGAGGAAAAGCAGTTCAGCAGCCCTGATTAGTTGGAGTTTCTAAGTATAAGTGAATAGACCATAACTTTTAAAGCCCAGGAAAAATCAAGGTTTCCCATCTAATCAATGAGGAGGCACATCCACTCTGAAAAAGGGTTATCTAAGAAAAAATATGAGGAGAAACAGGGTATAAAAAGGAAAATTATGAAAGAGAATGCAATGTCTAAATGCACAAGCTGATTCCTTAAACCATGCTGGACATACTGAATAAAACAACAAAAACAAGTGGCCTGGAGAGAGCCAAATCATTAACAAAACCATAATAAACACCACGTGGTGTCTTTTGACATTATTTTCCAACACTTTCTCTCCTTTCCATACCCAAGTGACAAATGCACAACTTTACAGTCAAAATCACAGCACAAATTTTTCTGTATTTTTAAGAACACAGAGTGATTTCAAACCTTAACATTTTAACTTGTTTTATGGAAGCTTAAATTGAGCAATTTCTGTCAACAAAAATCTTAGAAAGATATTTGCAGCTTTCAGCCAATGAAATTAGATGGTTTTCAAGAAACCAAAAATTAATTTTGTTAATGAAACAAAGTTAACTGGCATTCTTCTCCCCCTCCCCTTTTTTCATTGGCTATGAAAAAACTAATAATTTAGGCAAGTATAGCTGTAATCCATTACTTCTATCCATCATATTCTTATAAGCTTCATAAATCAGGGACACAGTGAATTTACTTCAGTTTGCTACTGTCCCAAGTTTATTAAACACAGCTAACCTAGAAAAGAAATCACAGTTTTATAATTGGGCTGGGCTGGGGTAGTTAATTGCACAGTAACTGGTTTGTATTTCAAAAGGGGGTTGGCAATACAGAGACGTTTTTGTTATTGCTGAGCAAAGCTTACACAGAACCAAGGCCTTTCTGCTCCTCACCCCACCAGTGAGGAGGCTGCGGGTGCACAAGGACTTGGGAGGGACACAGCCAGGACAGCTGACCCCAGCTGACTAAAGGGATATTCCAAACCACATCATGGGGAAAGAAGAAGGAAGGGAGGACATTCAGAGTGATGCTGTTTATCTTCCCAAGGCACCGTTACATGTATTGGGGCCCTGCTGTCCTGGGGGTGGCTGAACACCTGCCTGCCCACAAGAATTGGTGAATAAATTCCTTGTTTTGTTTTGCTTTGGTTGTGCATGCAGCTTTTCCTCCCCCTATTAAACTATCTTTATCTCCATCCACAAGTTTTCTCACTTCTACCCTGCTGATTCTTTCCCTCATTCACGCATGCGTGTGTGTGTGTTTGAGAGAGAGGGAGGGAGGGAGAGAGAGAGAGAAAGCACAAGTGGCTGCGTGGTTGTCAGATGAAGTTAAACCACGACAAAAATGCATCTTGAATGACCTGGGATCCACTCCCTAGCCCACACCCTACATTCCCCTGCCAACTCATTTGTGTCGATTTATTGCTTGCTGTTCAACCCACAACCTGCATCACCTCAACAGGGCCCATTATCAGACTGTGCCCGAACTGCCAGATGAGTTGGATGGCCTTCCGGCAGGATTTTTAGTATTTCTGCCTACCCCGAGCACCAGTCCGTAACGCGCAGGTGTGCATCTCCCGGCCGCCTGGGTTCAGCACCCTGGCCAGCTCCGGGCGGCGGCGGCGCTCCCGGCTGCGGCGGACCCCGCGTTCCCCTGCCCGCACCGAGGGGAACTTCCCACCCACAGGGATGCCTGCAGGGATTCCCAGCAACAAAATGCACTCCACTGCAAAGGGGCTGAACCAGGAATTTCATTCATCTAAAAGGAAAGAAGTTAGCCAGAAGCCAATATAATGTAAATACAATAAAAAACAAGATGTCACCTTGATGTCACCACACACTCCTTGTGCATGAATTCATCCCCAGTATAAAAGGGTTGATATCGATCCACAGCCTTGACACATCATGAGGGCTTTGCAGAAATTCAGTGCACCCACACAATGTGCTATCCCACCCCACACTGCTGGAGCTCAGCTGGCAGCTACAGAACAAGGGCTCAAAGTCAGATGAGAAAGTGCCACTCCTGGAGAAGATTTCTCCATCCCAAGTTCAGGTGTAACATAAAAGACCTAGGATCAATCTGCTATGTGAATAACAGTCAGCCTTCAGAGTTGGCACCGCATATGTCACCTTTGAACAAAGCTAAATTCATACACAACATCCAAAGAAAAAAAAAACCTGCTACAAGACCACTCTTTTTGGTTTCCTTTTTTGTTTCTGCCCACAGCATGCGTCACTTCCTCACACTCTAGACAGATTATCAGACTTAGAACAACAACTTCTAAGTGACATTTTGATATACGTGCCTTGAGAATAAGGGAACAGACAACCAATTTGGTAAACATTTTGGGCACAATTCACATTACTTCTTGGAAAATGACTTGTCTGTCTTAGAATTGATCAGACTTTTCATCAGCTTCTTAAGTTACTCTATATGTATCACCTTAACAGAGCCCTCTTTGTCAGCAGAAAGCTTGTTAAAACATAAGCCTATGTATTTTGTCCACAAGGAAGGATTTGGGTAATAGAGGTTTTAGAAAAGCAAACAAATGTCTATTGCCTGGAGAGAGAAGGAGAGACACAAAACAAAGACTACTTTTCAAGATGCTTCAGAAGAATATTCTAACAATTTCAGATTCAGTTCTAAGGTTACAACTTCCATAGTTTAACCCAAAGGCAACTGAACATTCACCTTTTTCAGTTTAGAAGTACCAACATTAACACATACTATTCAAATCTAACATATTCACTGATACTGTCTTACTATAAACCAAAAAATTAAATATATTTTATTCTTGGGTCTTCTTCTGGACATAACTAATTACTTAACTGACTGCTTGACCAGCATTTCCATGGAGGAACAAAGTTTCAGAGAAGCTTTCTATTTCTGGTCTGGACTTCTCATTCTTTCTGCTCTGCTCACCATGCCTGTGCCTCCTCTGTACTTTCATAGTTGCAATATCACATCTTACACCAATCAATAGGTGGGAAATTAATTTCATGTTTTTTCATTTCACACAAGACCTTTTCCTGAACTTTTTATTAAAAAAGCAAGTAAAAAAAAAGTAAAAGAAACCTATTTCATTCTTAACCCAGCATTACAGTCATGTTTTAGACTTACCTTATGTACGCTTTTAGGGTTTTCAAGCCATGCATGGTACATTTCCTCCATGTAATTGGAATTACTCCCACTCAGGAATGGCTGTGAGGTTCCTGATGAAACATACCGTTGGCCATGTAAAAATGCCCCTCTCGCTATATCCTGCTTTTCCAAAAGTTTAAAGCCATGCCTCTTCAGCACAGCTGCAAACAACTTCAGATGACTCATGTTTGTTTATTAGCCAGACGATCCAAGTCTATTAATAAAACAAAACCAAACTTAATTAGAAAAAGAGACAATGAATTGCAGACACATTTCAGCCTCACAGCAAAAACTGAGGTTTTTGGCTAGAGTGCTCTAGTACAAAGCTCAGGCCTAGGCACGTGAGTGGCAGCTGCTGGCCATGGGTCAGCTCCTCTCACAGCTCCCGTAAGCGGTGAGCAGTCACCGCTGTACCGCCTGCCTCTGGGCCCAGTTTCCTGGGACAAATGGGGCTGCTAATCATTGACCTCCCTGGAGCTCCTGGCAACCTCAACTGCTTTCTTTCTGTTTGGAAAGCTGGGGCCTTTTACCCAATCACACTGGGGTGGGATCAGCAAATAGTGTCAGCCACAGGTGCTGTGGAAAACAAAAAGCTGCTACCTCAAATTTCTGCCACGAGTAATGGATCTGACTAAATAATTAGAAGTGTTAGTTAAGTGTTCATATTGACATTGGCCTTCAACCAAACAGTGGAACACTAAGAAAAGGCTCGCTTTAATTCGTTTTCCTAACTGGCAACATTTATCTTGCACTTCAATGATCTCTTATGAGCTTTGTAACAAGGGTAGCAGACTCCAAGCAACTTTGAATTGAGAAATTCAGTTTTCCAGTTCAATTTCCCACAATAAGGGCTGAATCTTCTGAATGCTGAACACCATCATCTCCAATGCTAGCAAACAGAATCAGAGCTCACTTTCAAAATAAAAAAGAACAAATGCATCTTAAAATTAATCCTGAAATAATATAATCTCAATGTTCAAGTTGCTAAAACTGCAAGGCAAGAGCAACAATGTGAACATAAATTATTAATTTTATTTTCATTTTAAAAATATTTAAAAAGCTACAATAACATGAAGGTTGGATAAGGTATTAATTTAGAAGAAGTAGAATTCAGATTTAACTCCAAAGTGTCTCTCATTTGTTTTGCTATCCATCTGGAGAAATCGTTTATTTGGCCCAAGGTAAAACCCAAGGTCTTTTGTTGCTTGGTGTGACTGAATAATTGCTAAAAACAAATGTACTGAGCTGCCAAATGAACTTTAAAGTTTTTTTAAAAACAACACTGTTATTTTATTTCATACAAAAAATTTTAATGTTACCTATTACATTACATTACAAGATTTATCTCTAATTCAAAAATAAATACCATAAAAAATTTATAAATATTTTCTGTATATAAATACCACTGAATTATTTTCTCACTGTTTCTCCTCTTACAGTCTCCTTTCAAAAAACAAAATACATGGTTATAAAATGCCTAATTTTCTAAGGGATAGGAATAGCTATATTTTTCATCATCCAGTTTAAAAGTTAATATTGATCTTTAAAAAGAAAAAAAGGGGGCTCCTACTAAATAAAACATCATTACTCCTTGTTCTTCTCTGGCATCGTATTTTTAGCTCAACATCTATTTTAAAAGCTGATGACTAGATCCTTTTCTTAGTCACTACCTTTAACTGTATCATCCCAGCAGTGAACTGTCCTTGATCATACCAGATTCCCTTGTCTACTCTTTCAAGACTCCAGCAGCCTTTTCACTCTCATCCACCAGCAGACCTGAGCTGTAGCTCCTAAGAGCAGCAGCCATCCATCATCCACTTACTGGATGCTCTAAAGAAGCACTTGTCCACATTCTCCATGTGCCCAGACATGTGGAAAGTGTTCTTCCAAGGCAGCATCACTGAAACTAGCACCCAGTCCTCATTTAAACCTATGAGCTTCTCAAAACCACACACTCTCCTCTCTCCACCTGGCATTTGCAGCAAATTGGCAACAGTTGAGCTACTGGTATGCTGGACCCCTTCTCACTAGTGTTATTTTCTACCTGCTTATATTCCCTTGTCATTTCCCACTTCACAGATCCAAAGCTTATCACAACACCTGTGTCAACACCCATCTCTGACCAGGGCTCCCAGGCAACTGGAGGAACACAAACACCATCAGCATCATTTTGGAAGCAGATCAAGTCCTGCAAGAGCACTGACAGAGCTCATATACTGTCTGCATACGTAATTTTCTGTAAGATTTAACAGCAAGTATACATGATGTCATTTTGCAAAACTGGGTGAGACTTCATGTTATAACAGTAAGAACAGAGAGGTCACCTTGGCACTTACAACTTTATGTCTGTGCCCTCTCTCATTGACACTATCATTGCACCTACTTTACTGCATGCAAATCTCACCCTCTGCCACAAAACCTTTGCACACATACACTCATTCCTAAGGGATTACCAACTCTCTCTCAAAGTACTTTGTAAAGACTTGAGAGAGAAGGTAAAGAGAGGAACATTTTTTTCAGTTTATCATACTGCAGCAGCAAGCTCCTTAAGCACAGGTAATTTTACTTTTTTTCTTCATAATATGTCTGCCTGAAGAATTTGTAGTTCTTTCTTCTAGAAGTTAGTAAAGAACACACAACAGAATAAGAAAAAATTTGTCAGGGAGGTTGGAAAACGGCTGCAAATGACATAATATATAACAGAAACAAAGAACTTCTAAGTGGTACCAGTCACTTCCCTCGGGTTCCATTTGAATTTCAAAATGGGGTCAGAGCCACACTTCAAGCAGTAACTACTGAATATGCAATCTATTAAAGCATATAGGAGCTATGTCATTCCAGCCAGATCCCAGTTACAGATTAATATGACTCAAAACCCCTGACTTCTTCCTAGCTTTTCCTTCTGCACACATTGCTCTTCAGCACAGATGTCAGCTGTCAGCAGCTAAACAAACCAGAGACCACCAGCGTGATCACAAACCATCCCAGCCCACTCAGCCTTGAGACTGTCAGTCAAAAATCTGCACCCAGGACAGCATGCAGGAGTCAGGAGGAGTTAGAACTGTTCCACTTCACTATGTTTCCCAAACCAACCCTGAAATGAAAACAGTGATTGGAAATGGATCAAGCTGAGCTAAGAGCAACCTAAGGAATGGTATTAATTAAATCTCTACCAAAGGTCAAAAATAAGAAAGAACCAGTGAACCACAAGAACAACATGATATTTAATGCACCACAGCACCCTCAAAATGGTGGAAGTAAATGAAAGCCCTAAGCGGCTGAAAATTCCTGCAGCTGTTGTGTCTCAAACGACGACCTAGCTTTCACCTTGGCACTTCCACCTCTAGAAGTGCCCTAATGTCACAGACAGTTATTTATTATTAACCTGGGAATTATTCTACCCAGGTTTCTAGAGGGTCACAGGAGCATGCAGAAAACATGCAGCAGACACTTCTGATAACAAAGGTTTTATCCAGCTCTTTTCAAGTTCACTTTCAGTATAAATGCACTGCACATATGAATCAATATCCTCTTGGTATTGCCAGTGCCCTTACTGAGTTTCTTAACACACGTGAAGCCCTGCTTCAAATGTTAACAAATGCTCTTCATGTTCTGAAGAAGTGGTGGTTAAAAAGTCTGGTCTGTACTTCATAAAAATAATTCTTCATCCACTGTCATGGTTATTTCTCTGAATATTACCCACACAGATTACTCTTAAAGTTCTTTCTACGACTAAGCAATTCAAATAAACAAGGTTGACAGTGAAAAAAAATTGAATGAACATAATAAACCTTCTCCAAAAGATTATCATAGATAATTTAAATTAGAGATACAGGGAATACCCTTCTTAAATAAGGCTACTTCAGGGATACCTCCATGCATAAGTGTTTCTTTTCCCCCAGCACAGGTATGCCAAGGTGTATAGGGAGTCCTTATTCTCCACGCACGGAGTTGACCTGCGGGAGGTTTCCCAGCGGCGCATTGGCCTCGAGGAGCACAGCGCGAGTCCCGGGCAATGGAGGCGTCTCGGTGCAATAAAACTTAACGGATTTATTGCCCTACCCTGAAAAAACGCATTCAGCGGGTACCAGAAGGATAACACCCCCACAGCCCCAAAGGGATGACACCACCACGGACTCCAGACTACCAACAGAGCAGAGGGGAGGATCTGGGAGGGTCGGGTTTGTTCTCCGGCCCCTCCCCGTAACGCCAGGACGCGGTGTCCCGGTCACCCTGGCCACCGGCGGCCGAGCCTGCCGGGCTGTCAAGGCGCTCCCGGCTGCGGCGGGGCTGAGGCATCACCGGAGCCCGGGCCAGGACGGGCGGCCCCGCTCACCC